ATGTGCTGGGTATAAGTCCGATTCATGGAGGCCAGCAATACCTTCAGAGTTTCCACTGGAGTCCATGCCTCGACAGGTTATGGTGGGTGGTCAAAATGTTTTGGGTGATCAATGTACATCCCAGTCCAGTAGCTTTTATTTGTGTATATATATATATATTTAAAAACACATCCCTTGTAACAGCCTCGCATCTTGTTACAATGTATAATCTAAATAAGTGGGCACTGTGCAGAAGAGCCAAAGGAAATGGCTCATTTGCAGACCTGAAACCAATGACAACTTGCCAAAGACAGGATCTAGTGTTGCTCCCCTTATTGGCTTGATGAGCAAGGTGGGCTCTATAGCTGCAAAGGGACATTCTGCAGTACTTCTGTCACGCAGGAAACAAGGAAGCAGCAGCATGAATGGAATGGAGGTGCATATTTTCAGAATTTTAGTGATTCCGTCCCTGGTTTTTATCAGCAAGAGGATCACAAGCATGCCATTGTTCCTAAGGTAGTGCCTCATGTTTGCAGCAAAATAATACCTTTTTTCCCCAAGACTGCATCTCCTAAACCTAGGCACAATCATGTGACGTGAACATAATTTTTAGTTTTTGATTTTCAAGCTACATACCCCCGTGTTCACGCCTGGGAATATACTGTCACTCACTATTAAATAAAAGCAATGTTAAAACTTTGTATTCAGATCGGATTTTCAATATCTGCCAGATCATACTCCAGGGATTATATTATAACTCACTATTAAATAAAAGCAAAGTTAAAATTCTGTATTAGAATCTGATTTTCGAGATCTGTCAAATTATACTTCCTACACATTTCTTGGATTATATTATAACTTACTATTAAACAAAAGAAAAGTTACTTCTGTAATACAATCTGATATTTCAGATCAGATACATTTTATTTCCTACTCAGTACTGATATTCCTAGTTAGATCAAATTCAGTGCTCATATACATTGCTCAAAAAAAAAAAAACGAAAGGAACACTTTGAAAACACCTCAGATCTCAATGGGGAAAAAAATCATGCTGGATATCTATACTGATATGGACTGGGTAATGTGTTAAAAACGTAAGGATGCGCCACCGCTTTGGTGGAAATGAAAATGATCAATCTACAGAGGACTGAATTTAAAGCCCCCCCCCCCCAAAAAAAAAAAAACTGTGAAAAAATGATGCAGCAGGGTAGTCCATTTTGCTGAAATTTCATTGCAGTAACTGAAAATGGTACTCAGTAGTTTGTGTGGCCCCAATGTGCTTGTATGCATGCCTGACAATGTCGGGGCATGCTCCTAATGGACTACAGATGGTGTCTGGACCAGGGCATCACTGAGCTCCTGGACAGTCTGAGGTGCAACCTGGCAGTGTCAGATGGACCGAAACATGATATCCCAGAGGTGTTCTATTGGATTTAGGTCAGGCGAGCATGGGAGCATTGTAGTGCACCAGGAACCCAGGACCCGCTGCACCAGCATAGGGCCTGACAATGGGTCCAAGGATTTCGTCTCGATACCTAATGGCAGTCAAGGTGCCATTGTCTAGCCTGTAGAGGCCTGTGCGTTCCTCCATGGATATGCCTCCCCAGACCACCACTGACCCACCACCAAAACGGTCATCCTGAACGATGTTACAGGCAGCATAACATTCTCTCCACGGTTTCTCCAGACCCTTTCACGTCTGTCTCATGTGCTTAGGGTGAACCTGCTCTCATCTGTGAAAAGCACAGGGTGCTAGTGGCAGACCTGTCAATTCTGGTGTTCAATGGCAAATGCCAATCAAGCTCTATGGTGCCGGGCAGTGAGCACAGGGCCCACTAGAGGATGTCGGGCCCTCAGGCCACCCTCATGTAGTCTGTTTCTGATTGTTTGGTCAGAGACGTTCACACCAGTGGCCTGTTGGAGGTCATTTTGTAGGGCTCTGGCAGTGCTCAACCTGTTCCTCTTTGCACAAAGTAGCAGATAATGGTCCTGCTGATGGGTTAAGGACCTTCTACGGCCCTGTCCAGCTCTCCTAGAGTAACTGCCTGTCTCCTAGAATCTCCTCCATGCTCTTGAGACTGTGCTGGGAAAAACAGCAAATCTTCTGGCAATGGCACGTATTGATGTGCCATCCTGGAGGAGTTGGATTGCCTGTGCAACCTCTGTAGAGTCCAAGTATTGCCTCATGCTACCTGTAGTGACACTGACCCTAGCTAATTGCAAAACTAGTGAAAAACAGTCAGAAAAGAGGAGTAGGGAAAAAAAATGTCAGTGGCCTCCACCTGTAAAACCATTCCTGTTTTGGGGGTCATCATATTGTTGCCCATCTAGTGCACCTGTTAATTTCATTAACACCAAAGCAGCTGAAACTGATTAACAACCCCCTCTGCTACTTAACTATCCAGATCAATATACCAGGAGTTTAATCAACTTGATGCTATACTCTGCTAAAAAAGTGTTCCTTTAAGTTTTTGAGCAGTGTATTATTTTCAATTTCTACCAAGGCTCCTATATACTTCCTCTTCAATCTTGGGATTATATCTACCCTCGTCATCAAATAAACGTAATGATAAAACTAACCCTGCATTAGAATAGGACTTATGGTTTCTACCACGGCCTCCACATACTTCCAATTCACTCCTCACATTAAACTTTCAGACAAATGTGAAGTTAACATTGTGTATTCAGCCTGTCATGGGCTCTTTAACATATTGTCCAGTTATTCTACAAAGCTATAATTTATGCTGTGCCGTTAACAATCCATTGAACCTCTAATGTTTCATATCCCCAGTAGTATGCTCTGCTTGCAAATAACCGGGAGCCAAAACAGAAAAATTATACCATTCTCCATCCTAGCAAAGTAATTAAGAATAATGTATGTTTAGAAAGACAAGGACCTTACAATTACCTACAGCTAAAACCACTTACATGCAGGTAAATAACTCTCCTCTTTAATTTCCCTCTTGTTTCAAAATCTGTTGGCGTGGGGGGGTTAACAATGTTTAACAGCGAAAAATTGCATTTGCCATAAAAATGATTTAAAATTATGAAACTGGTTTTGCATGCCATTTGGGGAAATGCTCACAGTCAAAGAAATCACTCGCTGTAAGAGGATTACAAACGCAATCACAAAGTGAGCACTGAAACAAAAGGAGGAGGATGAATACTTTGTGAAAAGGGCACTTGTTCCTTCCACGTGAGTATTGTAGTCCATTTTAGTAGACACAATGGGGGCCTGTCTGAATATTAAGTCATTACTGAGAATTAACCAGACAGCTAAATTGAAGATTTAGGAAAACCACCAACTCCAAGAGACAGAGGGGACGGGCTGAATAGACTTGCAAGCTGTGATCTGTTACAACACACCTTATTCTCACTGTAGCCTCTCTGTGTTAATTAAAGGTTAGGTGCTGTGCAAACCACTAATCCATCTATTTTAGGAGTATCTGTAGCCCATTAAAATGAAGGACGGCTACCATATCAAAGGTCATACATGCTGCACCTTGAGCAAACCCTTTCCAAAAGCTTATCAGCACTGAAGCATCCAGCTTGGTACAACAAATCTTTTCCAATGAGCACCAGGGGAAAGCTTAGAGCATAGTAGAAGCACACACTGAGATGCTACCTTGTCACACTCTAGCCCACCAGAGGACGCTTAAAGCACATGCTTAAAAATGATGCTGTGTTGTGGCACGCATGCCATCCGGATAGCGCTTACAGGATTGGTCCAATCAAGTCCGCCTATCAGTTTTTCAGGCACATGAGATCAGACCCTCCATTCTCCTCTATGGAGCGACTAATGTATACGGGCTAGTGTCTGTTTACACCTGCCTACCTCCAACCTGATCTGCTAAAAACAGAAAGGGATCCATTCTCCTCCACCTGGGCGGATCAGAGGGCAGCAGTCGGGTGTTACATCTGGCCAACCATACAGCAGAGCAGGCTGTGTCCGCTCCGAATATGCAGAGTGGACACGGATCTGTCATCTGCCCATTCTGGTCAGCAGGGGATCAGAGGACAGATCACCACCCTGAGCAAGCAGATTCCACCCATGTGAAAGGGGCCTTACTGCAAACAGAAGTATACACTGATATACTTATTTGTGGTACTCCTGCCCACCAGGGGGTGATTAGGCCACAGTGAAAACACACAAACACACACATACAGAGGTGTGGCTTTGTAATACTCATGCTCACTATGGGGGGCACTTAGACCACAGCAGAGATGCCTTAAAGCCCTAAATCAATTAGCCTGTTTCTGAAGATAATAGGAAAGGAACAGCCACTTCTTTATTTATTTTTGCTGTTGTGATCAGACTTCCTGTTGGAAGGTAGCTACAATCATTCTCCATGGTCCCACTGTTTCTACCTAGCTACCTTCTTTTGCTCACTTCCAAGCTAGACTAAGTTCTATGGGATTTGTAGTGCCCACAGCACGTACAACCAGCGTGTACTGCTCATTAGAAACAAACAGAAGGAGGATAGGTTTGGAAACTCACAGAGGATGTTACAAGGAAGCAGAAAAACACAGTAGGAAATTATTTAACGAACAACAGATTAAAGGGTCATTAAGTAGTGGATGTGTGTTGTTTAACAGGATAAAATTTAGTGAAACTAAGGCCCCTTTCACACTGGTGGTCCCTGATTTGATCAGCAAGAGATCTGTCTGCTGATCCCCTGCTGATTAGAAAAGAGCAGGCAGATGAACCATCCCTGTCTGCTCAGTTTCTGCAGAATGGAAATGGACAGAGGCCGCTCTGCTCTATGGGCGGCATGGTATAAAACAGACTCGACTGTCCTTTTACCCCAAACTGCCCTCTGATCTGTACCACGTAGTCAGAGCAGGAAAGAACCCCTTCTGTTTTTTTTCAGTAGGCTGGATTAAAGGTAATGAATGTAAAAGATAAAATAGGTGCAGGCATGTGTATAAGCATCTCCAAATAAGAACCTCCTGGGATTCCCAAACAGCTGTGTTACAAAGATAAATAGGCACTCATGAAAAGCAAGATAAAATAAACATACTAGGCTCAGTAGGAAAAATGCTCATCAGCCGGGATAGCAATGTATGGACTGCTCGCAGGACCTTGGTGTTCCCACACGTCATGCACGCAGAAATTCCCCTCTGCAGAGGTTTAAAGCTGCTGAGAATGGCTGGGTTCTGCAGAACAGTGAGCAGGAAACTCAACACCTCCAGTCCGGTACAGATGTTAGCAAAATTCGCTTGTGCAGGCTGTTCCTGGAGAAAAAAAAATAACCACAATCTTAATATTGCACCTTTTAAGGTGAACATACAAATAAACGAAACTTTAACATGCAAGAAAGTGATCGCTAAAAGGCTACATTTTGAAGATTACCTGAAAGGAGGACCTAATCTCAGAAGGACAGGTCCCCTGAAGTCATTAAATTGGTTGTAAACACTTACATACATACACCCAGTGAAGTGACTGGTCTCAGGTGATACACAGAGAAAAAACAAATCCCCCTACACAGTCTTCTCTACATCCGTTTAAAGTGCAGAATTTATACAGATTTTCTTAGAGTTCAGAAAAAAAGTGGAGAGCTGAAGTTACAATCTACAGAACTCAATGAGGGGAGCTCAGAGAACTGATTGGGAGGGGAAAAGCCAAAACCCCCTCCACACAGGTCACAGGAACAGAGCTGAGGCTGTCAATCTGTTGAAGATCCCTCCCCCATCACCATTTTTCTCTTGCTGTCAGGAAAACTTGTCAGAAGTGATTCATGCTAATAGCAGAGGAACAAGGCATCAGACAGAAATTACACTTAGTGCTCTGGATTGAGACAAGTACACACTATAGAAGGATATGCTTTGTTCATATTTCATGTCTGAGGTTTATAACACTGTTCAACAAATTTGTATTTTTTGCCAGTTTTGGAAACAAAAGGATCCATTTCTTAATGAATTTCACATTCTGAGTTCAAATTAACAATGAAATTTGTCAATTGGCTCTAGTTTTTCTGTAAACGGAAAGTTTTCTACTATAGGCGTAATGACTACATATTGCACAATAATTATATAGATAGATGTCTTTCCACAAATATAAAGCAAGTGATATTGACTACATAACAAAGCCTAAATGGCATAATATATTGCATAGGATTACCAAGAAAAATTATAGCCATAAGCTAAGTTGAATCATTTTAATACTTAGGATTCTCACTAGTTTTGTCTTCAGTTTGTGTCGGTTTTGCTTCTCTTGGCTTTTCTCTTGTATTCGAGGAAAGGGCTATCTCTTACAACTGCACGTGACTACACGCTTCAGGTTCTTCCTCACTTGACTCAACCACGAAGGATTCTGGTGCTTTAGGAATTGGTAGCCCCTCTCCATGAGGAACTGGACGTATTGCCGATGGAATATTTGGATAGTGCACAGATAACTTTTTCTTCTTATTTAGCCCTTTTACAATTGGAGGCACCATACAAAAGTAACAATTACTAACATGATCTGTTGGCTCTCTCCAAATCATTGGCACAGCGAAAGGCATAGATGCCTTTTTTCCATTCAACCATTGCTCCAGTGCCGTCCCACAAGAATTGCAGCATATATGTGGTGCCCAGCTCTTGTCCTGGTCTCCTATCTTGCAGCCAAAATACAAGTTGTAGGCTTTCTTAATCATTCCTGTTATCCTCCTTTTTTGTGAGATAAAAGTTATTTCACCGCAGATATAGCAGAAATTATCTGCTTTATTCACACAAGTTCGAGGCATTACTGAGTAGCCTATATAAGCATAAAACGAAATGTAAAGACGCTGTCGAACTACAATCAGCTACAGATACTGCAGCTTTTATGCAGTGAAGTGATGCAATTAAAGGCTAATATTGCATCATCTCAGTATACATGCAATTTTCTATTGGTCACCAGTATCAATTGTGCAATATGCAGCTGAAGTTGCATCATAATTTTGAATGGCTTACGTCATTAGATGGGTGAATATATCATGGAAACTAGAGCCAATCAACATTTTTTAGGGTCGTTTTCATTTTCAGCACCCCAAAATTATCTAAGATTAGCTAATTTTATGCCCAAAACTTTTTACCTGTTGAACAGTGTAATCACTTTAATAGTCTTTCCTACCCCCAGTCAGGGGATACCTGCAACAGGAGACTGGTGCCCTATGCCAGCCGACAAACCAGGAAAACATGGGGTTCTTCTCTTGCGAGTTTGATGTGTCGCACAAAGTGTAACGCACACCTACATGCAGAGGCCTCTCCTCTACGTCTGGTGGTTACTAGTTGACAGAAATGGCTTAGAGAACACAAAAAGGGCACACATATTCTCTTGGTGGTAAAGACACAGCAAAATCTGTCCAACAGAGACCAAACTAGAAGATCTGCTCAAGGTGTGATCCTACAAAGTAGAGGGAACAATCTTGTTTTGGAAGACCAGAAGTCAGTCTGGGAGATGATACCACAAGGAGAGAGAAGCCCAGGGAGCAGAATCCTTAACAGCCACCTGGAAATGGATGAGTGGATACCACAGGGACTACCTGAGCAATCTGGGCAGATACTGTATATGTTAGACTGGTCAGAATCTACATTTTGGCAGATATGTTAGACTGCTCAGAAACTAAATCACAATAGCAGGGAAAGTGGCTTAGGTAGACTTAGCAGAATAACAAATCTTTTGGCAGGTATAATACTACACATACATGTATTTGTGTACATGTGTTGTTTCGCCATTTGTCTGGTGTTTCACTTTAATTAAGAGACTGTTTGTGCCTAGGTGGCTCACTAGGATGGCTCACTGAGATAAAAGCTTACTGCCCATTGTCAGGTTTGGATAGTAATCATTATTGATTTAGCATTGAATTAATCAGCATTAGCTTCATAATAGGTCTGAATCTCACAATAAAGAGAAATGTAATTTGAAAGCAAGACTGCAAAATATTGCAATTATAATACTCAATAATGTCACACAAAAAAAAGAAAAAATAATACATGAATTCATATAATGGCCAATTGTTTCTTGAGCATAAAACATTTTCACGTGGCTAAATTGCACTTGCTGGAGAAATCAGAGAAGGGATTTGTGCAGCTAATTATAAGGAGCTTGTTATGTATGAAAATCAATGGATGAACAAATGAAAAAGCTTCTCAGAGGGTGCATGCTAATGGCTGCTGTTTCTACTATGGTATTTTATTACTGCTGCCGCCATAGAGGTGAAAAAAATGTTTGCCTGGACAATAAAGTTTTGATTTTGTTCCCCAGCCAATGTCTTTCCCTGGAAAGTCAAAGAACCATGTAATAAAATACAGCAAGTCCTGATCCTCCTATGCACTTTACTGCAGTGTGGTACAATTGCAGTGCACATCATTACCTTACTTCTATCAACAACAAGAATGAATGAAGACATAATGGATGGGATGTGAATCCTAACACTAGCAGGGTGCCAGATGAGGATTTGAAGGTGTTAAGTTTCTCTTAATGAATGGCTGAGGTAAATCAGATGGGGCTTTAACTCACAAAATGGTGAATTTTCAGTTTTAAAGTACGAATATAAAAAAAAAAGATTAAACATACACCAGATGTTAAAGGCCAAGTTCACATTTTGGGAAAAAATACATTATCGCACATATTTTTGCAAGAAAAAAAAAAAAAAATTTATTTTTTTTCCTCAGGAGCTTGATCGGTGGATCAAGGGTGCAATGCCAGGCTCCTGCAGACAAGCCTGTACGTCCCATACAGGCTTAGCTGTTTCCAAGCTGCAGGGCTTGTGCTTGAACTATAGTATGAGAGCTCATAAGCACCTTTGCAGTTCATTGAGAACTACAAGCTGTCAGCCACAATGGCTGATGGTATTTGTAGGTCTGTCATTCACAGGTCGCTGTGAATGTATGACGCAGCTGTTTGGGATGAAACCCGCACAGCCACACTATTTTAAATGTGACAGAGGGTGTGGGGAGAAAATCCCCTGCCTGCTGTCACAAAGAAGACGACGAACTTGAGGGTGCAAGGGAGAGGTCTGGAACACGTTACACCCAAATTACTGTATGTGTAACATGTAACATGGTCTGAAAGGTGAACTTATCCTTTAACCCTAACCAGATGACATTTGGTTTGTTAAAGCATTGTGTGCAACTGCCATGTTCTCTCTTTTTTTTTTGTAGAACATACTGTTCAACTTTTCACCCTTTGCTGAATCTCAGTGCTGCTGATCTCCTACGGCCACTTGTTTTCTACATGCTTGCAGTGGCATTTGTATGCATTTTATTTTAAACCAGAATCAGACCAGAACAATACCAAAATATAAGGTTACAGTTTTATTATTTTAACCACTAGCCTACAGGGCAGTTATACCCCCTACCAGCCCAGGCCAATTTTCAGCTTTCAGTGCTGTCGCACTTTGAATGACAATTGCGCGGTCATGCAACACTGTACCCATATGAAAATTTTATAATTTTTTTGTGACAGATTGAACTTTATTTTGGTGGTATTTAATCACCTCTGGTTTTTTTATTTTTTCTTAAACAAACCAAAAACCAGTGAAAATTTAGAAAAAAAAAAATCGTTTTTGTTATAATAATTTTGTAAATAAGCGATTTTTCTCCTTCACTGATGGGCGCTGAAAGGTGGCACTGATGAGGAGGCACTGGTAGGTGGCACTGATAGGGCACTGACAGGCATCACTGATGGGCACTGAAAGGAAGCACTCATATATGACACTGAAAGGCGGCACTGACTGGCACTGTTACGTGGCACTGTTAGGCAGCACTGACTGGCACTGATAGGCGGCACTGACTGGCACTGATAGGTGACACTGAAAGGCAGCTCAGATGGGCACTGATATGTGGCATTGAAATGTGGCACTGGCAGGCACTGAAATGTGGCACTGGCAGGTGGCATGGATGGAGCACTGACAGGTGGCACTGCTGGGGCTACACTGATCATCAGGGCACACTGATCATCAGTACTCTGATGATCAGTGTACATGTACCCTCCGAGTAATGCCAATTACCGACTCTCCTCTCGAGCTGTCAGCGTGACAGCTCATGAGGAGAGAAATGCTGATAACTGGCATTTCCCTGTTTACATGTGATCAGCTGTGATTGGACACAGCTGATCACATGACCGAGCCGAGATCTTCGGCTCTTTCCGTTGATCGGTGATCCGCTGTGTCCGGGGGACACATCGCACCACCGATCGACGCTGCGTGCTCCCGGATCCACGCATGCGGAGTTAGAATGGGACGACGTCATATGACGTCGTCCCAGCACGAGAGAAACCGCCTTGCGCCCGTCATTGTACTATATGGCGGACGGGAGGCGGTTAAAGGTCGTTGTGACCTTACAGCAACTATTCTTTTATAAAATGTTGTTAAGAAACCCTAAGTTACATATGGGCAAATTCCAAAATTAAAAAACGGATGGTAAATACAGCAACACATTGTTTTATTTAATATACAGATTGCTGATTTACTTAAAGGGGGGATTTATTTATAGAGAAGTGAATTTGACCGTCATCAAACATTCGTTGCTGGTGAATTTTCCTGGTGCATGTGCTTTATTAATGGAGATTGATTCAACGATAGTAAAGTTTTTGTGAAAGTCATATTCACATTCATTTGCCCCTAATATTCAAGGTGTGTAAATGCAGTGTACTTACAACTGTCATAAGAAGCTTATCAAACCACTGGAGTTTCAGCTCAGATTTGGGCCACATATCGGCACGCAGTGCAGTTTTCAGAAGGTTGACACAGCGACGAGATAGAAGCTCTCCAGGAGAACCAGCTGTGTTTGAATTGTCATTCACCTACATTAGCAGAATAAAAGGAAGAAAGGTAAGCTTGCCAAGTTATCATAAAGAAACCGAAATGCATAACAATATATTTTGACATTGCAGTTAAAAACCGAGAATTTAAAGGATTTCCACTACAAAAAAATTGGAAGAACATTCAAATTTTCATGAACTTTATGTCCTAGAAAGGAAATACTGTAGAACAGAACTTGCCTCTATCCGGTCCTCTGAGTGTTATTCCTCCCACTGATACTAACAAGGAGGCAACATTTCTTCCCTTAGCACCAACTATGGGGCATTTTTCCTCCCACTGACACCAATGATGGGGCACAATTCCTCCCACTGATATAAACAATTAGGTACTATTCCTCCAACTAATACGAAGGATGGGGAACTATTCCTCCCACTAATACCAATGAGGGGGCACTATTTCTCCCATTAATATCAAGAATGGGGCACAATTCCTCCAACTAATACCAAGGATGGGGCACTATTCCTCCCACTGACACCAATGATGGGGTACTTTTCCTCCCCCTGACACCAATGATGGGGCACTATTCCTCCCCCTGACACCAATGATGGGGCACTATTCCTCCCCCTGACACCAATGATGGGGCACTATTCCTCCCCCTGACACCAATGATGGGGCACTATTCCTCCCCCTGACACCAATGATGGGGCACTATTCCTCCCACTGACACAAATGATGGGGCACTATTCCTCCCACTGACACAAATGATGGGGCACTATTCCTCCCACGGACACCAAATGATGGGGCACTATTCCTCCCCCTGACACCAATGATGGGGCACTATTCCTCCCTCTGACACCAATGATAGGGCACTATTCCTCCCCCTGACACCAATGATGGGGCACTATTCATCCCACTGACACCAATTATGGGGCACTATTCCTCCCCTGACACCAATGATAGGGCACTATTCCTCCCCCTGACACCAATGATGGGGCACTATTCCTCCCCCTGACACCAATGATGGGGCACTATTCCTCCCTGACACCAATGATGGGGCACTATTCATCCCACTGACACCAATTATGGGGCACTATTCATCCCACTGACACCAATTATGGGGCACTATTCATCCCACTGACACCAATAATGGGGCCAGATTCCTCCAACTAATACCAATGATACATTATTCCTCCTTCCACTGACAACATGCACTGTAATTTTTTTCACTCCTACTGACACTGTGACACTTTCTAGTCCCTCTGGCCATTCAGGCTCTCCTGAAGAACAGTAAACCGGCCCTATGTTTAGAAAGTTTGGAGACCCCTGCTATAGAAGGTCAGGAAACTGTGCTCATGGAGGTCATCACATCTATAACCACTTAAAGTGGAACTACACTGCATTTGAGCAGCACAAACCGAAAACGCTAAAGTGGTTGTACAGGGTGAAGGCTTTTTACCTTCATGCATTCTATGAATGAAGGTAAAAAAAACCTTCAGTGTGCAGCTACGCTCGCAGCCCCCCAATACTTACCTGAGCTCAATCGTCATCCAGCGCTGTGCACAGGAACCTCGGCACTCCCAAGTCTCTCTCTCCTCATTGGCTGAGATAATCCAACAGGAGCCATTAAATTCCGCTGCTCTCAATCACAACCAGTGAGGAGGGAGCGGGGGCAGGACTGAGCCACACTCTGTGTGTCCCATAGTCACAAAGAGCTGACTCGGGAGCTAGCATGCACGAGTGCCCCCCCAACGCAAACGGGAGGGGTCAAACACGCTGGTGGAAGACCCAAGAAGAGGAGGATCGGGGCTGCTCTATGCAAAACTAATGCACAGAGCAGGTAAATATGTTTGTTATTTAAAAAAAAAAAAAAAAAAAAAACTTTTAGAACCACTTTAACTCATTTTTCATATTCAAAGCAAACTCCCCCATCCATCCATGTCTCCATGCTTCATTTTTCTGAGAAATCACTTTGAAAAACACCCTCTAGCATTTCTGGCCGTAGCCATCTTGAGTAAGGGCAAATGAAATGGAATCCATCTACCCTTAGCTCGGGCATGCAGGCAGAAGGGTGTGCTTAGCTAAGAAAAGCCCTCCTCCCCTCCTGAAGACTCCTGGGATGTAGGACATCATTTGCCTAGCCCTGGAAAGCAGGACTTAACTAAACAAATGTAAAAAAAAAAAAAAAGTTTAACACAATATCCTTTCCTATCTATTTACTAATGCTAACAGCATAAGGACTAAAAATAGCATTCATGAAGCCCTAGTTATCAAACATATAATTGAAATCCCACACACTTTTGCTTAAAACACAAAAAAAATACCAAAAAAACAATACGCAACATTCCCCATATGCTGAACTGTGTACCTGGCATGCAATTCTAATGAGGAAATTGACCACGGTGTCTGTATGCTGCTTCTCAATGGGTTTAGTAATGACAGCATCTGCCCCCGGGAGGGACTGGCTGCGGCCGAACACCTGAAACGAAAACAGGCAAGTAAAATCCGGATCAGGGTTCCAAAACAGGACACAAATCCCAGGATATTCCAGGTGAAGCCAAACAGATCAACAACATCAACAAAGGAGTCTCGAGAGAATATAATAAAACTGCAAGTAAAACAGGCTTACCGTGCTGATTCCCCCTGTAGCTGTTCTGAAACGCTTCACCTCCTGGCTGGCATCGACGGTCATACTCCTCTTCACACCACCTGCACCTGAGCTTCCACCTTCGCCACTGCCATTTGCGTCCATGTCAGAATCAGGCTGGGGGAAGCAAGAATTAGAGAGTTATTTAGCTCTACTAAAAGAAAAAAAAAATCTAGAAAAGCACTTTGTATTAAAACAGGGTAACATGCTAAAATGTAAAACATTCTCAATAGGTTGCGAAGGATTTGCGTTTGTTTTTGTGCCTGCTAATAGTGTCCTCTGCATGTCCCTTCTTTCCTACTGTCACACACTGGGCTTATTTTCGGTTAATCCTGCAGGCAAATCTAGGCAGGGAAAAGAAGTCACTAGTGTTATGAGAACTTCTCTTAGCAGCCTGGAGGCGGTAGGTAGCTGTAATGCACACAGGTACAGCACAGGCTAGTTAAAATTATATTAATAATTCCAATCTATTCTAACAGCTGAAGTGTTGTGTTCGAATTATATCCTTATGACATGCTTTTCTCAGTATTTGAATATAAAGGGCAGCTAATAGGCAGTTTAGAGATTTTCTATACCAGAAGCTTAGAATAATGAGTCATGCAAGCCCCACTTAATTTAAAAGGTAACGGAATGGTCAATAAAGTGGGTGGAAGAAAAGAAAATTGCTAAATTTCCTCATTAACACAGTCAGTGCTATTGTATTCTGCCAGGGGGTGGGGGGGCTGGTAGAACACAATGATTACTGTCAGTGGCTATAGCCGCTGGCAGTAATTGCATGCAGAATAAATTTGACAGGCTGGTTGTGTCCAAGTCCATCGATGGATCAACTTGGGAACAAATCAGCCTGCCCATACATGGATCGATGTTTTTGAAACATCTGAATTTTCAATCCATGTATGGCCGGCTTTAGTCTTCCTCCTGATCTATATGGTAAACTACCCATTCAAGCTGCTACTTACCTCAGAACAACTACAGCATGCTATAAGCACTGGCTTTATGTACTCTTTCCGCAATCTATTCAGACACCTGGTTGCCAATGTGTAGTGAGCAGTCATAGACTTGCACAGTCCAAACACAAGTAAATTGCAGAGCTGGATACAGATTTTCAATGGGTCAGTCAGATTATTACTGGGGCACACCACAAAATGGGGACACCCCTTTTGTGAAATAGGAAGTGGAGACCAGATATGAAAATCCATGTATATACAGTCCAATGCAGGGGCGGACTGACAACTCATGGGGCCCCTGGGCAATAGGGGATCATGGGGCCCGTGTCCTTGCCCAAGCTCAAAAAAGCCTATAAAAAAGGTACCAGGGGCATCTCATGGGGCCCCCCTACTGACCCGGGGCCGTCGGGCAGTGCCCGAGTTTCCAAATGGTCAGTCTGCCCCTGGTCAAACGCCAGCACAAAACACATGTCCAAGAGTCCTAAGATTTATTGATAAAACTGATTCATAGCAGTAAATATCTACTGCATTTTGGGGGCCAAACAGACTCCCTCTTTATCAGATCTTAGGAATTTTGACTGTGCTTAAATGAACTCAGATGGTCTCCCAACATTTTTGTGTCTCAGAAAATGGTCCTGTGCAAGTCTATGTATATAGAGAGTGGAAAGCACAAGTTCAAAGTTTCAATACAATTAGTTCATAACAGAAGAGGTGGAGTTTCAGAAAGTGGAGTCAGTACAGGAATCACTGCTTGAAGGCAGCAAGGTACCATGGGACATGTAGTCCTTAGAAAATGAACACAAACAGCAGAAGGGAAGCTGCAAAGCATGCAGGGAATCCAAGAAGTGTTGGAAAGAGCTGGCCAGTAGACAGGCATCACTGCCAACATGAAAGGAGATTTTTCAAGTAAGCTTATAGTGGATTCTCAAAAATAACTATTATTTGTATTGCTCTTACAATGCTGATGTTGTAAAGGAAAAGTATGCTTTGGCCATAGAATTCCTTTAATGTTTGACATCACTTCAGATTCTTCAAATTACAAACCCACAACACATACCTGATCTTTTAACCTCTGCAGTTCCCATTTGATGACCACCTCTGCTAGATCAACAGCCAGCTTCCTCTGCTCGATGGTAACACTGGGAGTGAAGCCCAAGCGCTGCATTGCACTGACCATATGCTGCACAAGACTATGCCGCACCGGATAGTAAACCTGTAAATAATAGGATCAATCACACCTTACAAAATATTTTAAATGCAAGAAACATTTTTTTTTTATTTTTATAGCTGAAAGTAGCAAAGCAGACAATGCAATGGACCCCTTTGTGCTCAATCACATAAGAAATTCTGTTTTACTAACCTACCAGTTTTATGAACTGCTCACCTTAAAATGCTGTACAATTAAATGCAGAATGTGCACCAACTGGGGGACCGTGTGTCCTTCCTCGACAATTATCTTTCTTGTCCAGTGTGTAAGCATCTGATGTCCATCCTCCATGCGGGCTGGAACTGCTGGAGTCAGGATGGCCATGGCTTGGCGGACAATTGCTCGTGCTTCCATTGCATGTGCCTTCAGGAGACTGTGGAAAACCTGAAAAAAAAAAAAAAAAAAAAAACCCCATGAACATACACAGACAACAGTCAGAAAGGGAGGGGAGAAAGAACTGATGTTATCATTTCACTGTGCTTTTATTCAACTATTAAAGTGTCGCAACTCTGCGGAAATAGACTATTTTCAGGTAGCACTCATGTGATCATAACACAAGGCTTTAATTGCTATACTTCATGGCAAAACATATGCTAATACTTTAGAAGATATGACGACAAAAATAATAAGCAGCAGTTTTGTCAATAAGCAGGATATGTAGTTCATTTACAAAATAAGCTGCCACCTAGGGCTTAATTCACATAATGTGTACTACAGAATACTACCATGCGAGGACCATGTTTATCCAAATGGGGATGCACAGATGTTCAGTGCATCCCAGTGCAGAAAAGCCCATTGATGTCAATTAGGATGCAGTGGCTGCATGGATGCAGACATTGCTTTAAGTTTGACATCCGTGCAGGTGCATGGCCCCAAACGCAGATAGTGTGTATTCAGGGCCATGCACCTGCACAGATGTCAGATTGGGAGCAGCATCTTTGTTCATGCAACCATTGCATCCCAATTGACATCAATAGGGATGCATGGAACACCTGTGCATCCCTGTGCGGGTAAACAGGGCCCTTGCACGGGCATACATTGTAGCATGCCCAGCTTTAGTAAGACCTATCTAATATAAAAATTGGCTAGGTCACCTACTAAGGGTCTCCTGAATGCTAGACGTAATGTTTATAAGGGCGGACCTATTTGCTGATGAAGTCATTGGTACATTGGAGTTTGTGCTGACCTGGACTACACAGAGCTCTGCTGCAGAGTATGCTGCAAAGCATGCTGGTTTTTAGAGCAATATTCTATTTTATCATGCGAATATATATATCATTGCTATCTCAATAAAAGTATGGCAGTGAGCACTATCATTTTCTTCTCTCTGTTTTTTGCGTATCTGCTTGATGTGATGTGTGGAGGAGTGGTGGTGGAAAATTATAACTGGAGAACAAGACATCATGATTAATCATTTATAGGAAAAATGCTTATTTGTGACCTCTTATGAAATTTAGGAGTCATAACTGGAGGTGAGCAGATTTATAGATCACTGGGTGGAATGCTCTCCTTTCACTACGTGGGGGAACACCATCATGGAGGTTTTTGGTATTGGTGATAAAACTGCTGCAGATCTCCTTCTATTTGTTGAATTCTACTTCACTAAGGATTTACTTATATCATACTGTTCATGTTAATAATGGAAATATTTGGCACTGATCTCCTATCAGTTGGATCCTATTTCACGAAGGACATACTTCTATTTCCTCTTTCTCCCTGATTGGTATTGTGTATAATTTTGTGTTGGTTTGAAGATCACATGTTAATTGCTAATATATTCTGTTCGTTTGAAAATATTTGAAAGTTATGAGAGAGTGATAGTTCTCACTTGTTTGGGTAGTGCTGCATGATTTCAGATCATCTATACATAGGCAATAATTTGACATACTGCACTTCATTTACAAGGCAAAGTAAGCAAAGTGGATTATGCCATTAACATCTTTCTTTCGGGCAAGTGCCAGGTGAAGGCACAGGATGGGAGACAATGCAGCATCAGTTGAGATTTAGATTAACTATTCATAGTAAGACCAGATCTTCACCTGCAAAACAATCTTCTTGTGTATGGCAAACTTAGATATGATATGTGCGAGGAGTAGATGGCCGCTGTACTTGCATGCTGGATCTACACAAGCCTTAGAAAGCAGACATGGCCAAGCAAAGGTCATGAGTCGCCTCAGTTTGCTGTTGCGGTTTTTGTTGTTGTCATGGATATGATGAGGGGCATGTTCCACCAGAAGTGTGGCAAACTGCAAGAGGTAAATCCTGAGGGAGTCCAGCATGTCTGTCTGCTTCTCTGGGTCTAACACCTGCAAAAGAATAAAAGCACAAAGACCTGAGTGAAATCCAGGATGAATATCACACATACATGCCACTAAACACATCAAAAGCGTGTACAAAACACAGTAACTGCCTGAGGGTACCTTAGTAATAAAAACACTAGTGATGCTCTCCTGGTTATCTCCTTCAGGGTTTGGTGGGCCCAAGAGTTGTTCCCCTTCATTTTTCTCAAAGCTGTACAGAAATGCAGGATTCAGAATATGCTGCAGAACCTATGTAAAACAAAGCATTAAGATATTAAGAAGAAACATCAGAATTAAAATGGTTTTAAAAGCTGGATTTTTACCTTAATTCATTCTTTACATTAAAAAGGTAAAAAAAAAAAAAAAAAAAAAAAAAAAACCTGAGTGCAGCTCCCCATAGCCCCTGCTTATACATACCTGAGCCTGACCTCGATCCAATGCTGTGCTCTCTCCCTCCTCATAGGCCCAGAGACCGCACAAGAGCCACTGGCTCCTTCTGCTATCAATCACAGCCAGTGTGCAGGAAGCCGGGGGCAGGGCCAAACCACGCGCTGTTTATCTATGGACATACAGGGCAGGCTCAGGTGCAAATCCACACAAGTGCCCACATAGTAGGCGGCTGGGAGCCAGGAGCACAAGCAGGAATCCCCAGAAGAGGAGAATTGGGGCTGCTATATGAAAAAGCATTACACTGAACAAGGAAGTATGTTTGTTATTTTTAAGAAATAAAATTTGATCCTTTACAATCACTTTAGGATCTGCCGTTGCATGGAGAAAGTAACTATCAATCCACTAGCAGAGTCTGAGTGATGTGTGAAATGTGTATTAAAGTGGGACTCCAATGAAAGGTATTTTCTTTAAGTTTAGTGTAAGTGGGACATGGATATCACACCCGGAAGTTTTTTTGTGTTGTAGTTTGTAGCCCTGTTTACGAGATTTATCCTTTGTGATTTTTCCAGGTGATGATGATAGGACATGAAGGTAAATCTCTAACAGGGATTTGGGGCAGTAATAAAATGCTGTGAAAGGTCCTATCATTTTTCACCAATGTACTAAAATAGATATTTCTAATGATGGCCACAGCCATAAGAGATTTCCACTTGCTTACTTTTCTGGCAATGTTGTCATTAGGACAGGACATAAGGGTTAATCTCTCCAGTGGGACAAACAGCTGTCAATACCTGACAGTTTTTAATCCCTCCCCCCATGCCCAATTCCCCCAAAATGTTTTTTCACTGCTTAAAACAGTGTTAACGTAAAGAGAAAGAAGAACCTATGGTAAAAACTCAAAATCAAGTTTACTCTGACCAATTTAAGTTTCAGAAACATGATATCTGGTTACAATAGATCTGCACAAAACTGTATTCCAAAGCTTAACTCCAGGCTAAATTAATATTGTCTAATTACAATGGCCATGTGTGTTCTTACTTGAATCTTCATGTGTTTTGTTTTTCTTCCAAATCTATGCAGTAATCCAGTATGAAACAGCTCTTGAACTTTGCCTCTATTCAGAAGCTTCCTGTAATAAATGCTGCTCTCTTTTGCAGGGTCGCTGGTCTTGTATCCACCCCTTCAATAGTATTCTGTGGGTGGCCTGTAGTGGGTGGAACTGGTGGGTTCATCAGCTCCGCTCTCTGCACAGGCTATGTACAGCACAGTGATGTAATCACTGCTACTTCTACAAGCCAATATCCCAGTTTAAAAAAGCATTTGCTGCACACAAAGAAGATATAAAGGACGAGTTCACCTTTAAAAAAAACTAAATAAATAATAAATGCACATTTTGCAGGTAAAAAAATATGCATTTACTATTTATTTTTGTTTTGGGAGCCTGTAAAGCAGTGCATCAGCGATCAACAGATCGCTGGTGCCCCGCAGGACTCCTGTAGACCTGTCAGTGTATCTGTGTGCTTGTACCGTGTACGGGCAAGCAGATACTCAACAGCAGGAAGTCTAACTGAATTACCACAGCGCTCAACAGCACCGTGGTAGTTTATTGAGAACTACAAGCCGACAGCTACAAAAGCCGTTGGGACTTGTAGTCTTCCCATTCACAGAACACTGAATGGACAATGCGGCCAGGCAGGCAGAGACCTGCACGGCCCTGTTTTTTCAAAATTGTGACAGCTAGTGTGGGAAGAAGATCCCCTTCTAGATGTCAAAACAGGGGATCGGGGACCAGTCCTTTTGTAATATTGTTACATGTTACACCTTGAATATATTACAGTGGATATAAAAAAAAGTCTACACACCAGTTAAAATGTCAGGTTTCTGTGATGTAAAAAAAAAAAAAAAAAAAGAGACAAAGATAAATAATTTCAGAACTTTTTCCGCCTTTAATGTGACCTGTAAACTGTACAACTCAATTGAAAAACAAACCAAAATCTTTTTTTTTTTTTTGGGGGGGGGGGGGGATGAGTAAACATAAAAAAAACTAGGATACTGTGGTTGCATAAGTGTGCACACCCTCTTATCACTGGGGATGTATCTGTGTTCAGAATTAAGCAAACACAATCAAAATCATATTAAAAAGGAGTCAGTACACACCTGTCATCATTTAACATGCCTCTGATTAACCCCAAATAAAGTTCAGCTGTTCTAGTAGGTCTTTCCTTACATTTTCTTACTCGCTTCCTACAGCAAAAGCCATGGTCCGGAGAGAGCTTCCAAGGCATCAGAGGGATCTCATTGTTAAAAGGTATAAGTCAGGAGAAGGGTACAAAAAAATTTCCAAGGCATTAGATATACCATGGAACACAGTGAAGACAGTCATCATCAAGTGGAGAAAATATGGCGCAACAGTGACATTACCAAGAAATGGACGTCCCTCCAAAATTGATGAAAAGACGAGAAGAAAACTGGTCCAGGAGGCTGCCAAGAGCCCTACAGCAACATTAAAGCAGCTGCAGGAATATCTGACAACCACTGGCTGTGTGGTACATGTGACAACAATCTCCCGTATTCTTCATATGTCTGGGCTATGGGGTAGAGTGGCAAGATGGAAGCCTTTTCTTACGAAGAAAAACATCCAAGCCCGGCTAAATTTTGCAAAAAAACACATCTGAAGTCTCCCAAAAGCATGTGGGAAAATGTGTTATGGTCTGATGAAACCAAGGCTGAACGTTTTGGCCATAATTCCAAAAGATATGTTTGGCGCAAAAACACCACTACACATCACCAAAAAAAACACCATACCCACAGTGAAGAATGGTGGTGGTGGCAGCATTTGGGGCTGTTTTTCTTCAGCTGGAACTGGGGCCTTAGTCAAGGTAGAGGGAATTATGAACAGTTCCAAATACCAGTCAATATTGGCACAAAACCTTCAGGCTAGAAAAACTGAATATGAAGAGGAACTTCATCTTTCAGCATGACAACGACCCAAAGCATACATCCAAATCAACAAAGGAATGGCTTCACCAAAAGAAAATTAAAGTTTTGGAATAACCCAGCCAGAGCCCAGACCTGAATCCAATCGAAAATCTGTGGGGTGATCCAAAGAGGGCTGTGACAGGAGATGCCCTCGTAATCTGACAGATTTGGAGTGTTTTTGCAAGGAAGAGTGGGAAAATATTGTCAAGATGTGCCATGCTGATAGACTCATACCCAAAATGACTGAGTGCTGTAATAAAATCAAAAGGTGCTTCAACAAAGTATTAGTTTAAGGGTGTGCACACTTCTGCAACCATATTTTAGTTTTTTTATTTTTACTTCCCTCCACCTAAAAGATTTCAGTTTGTTGTTCAACTAAGTTTTACAGTTTATACGTTACATTAAAGTTGGAAAAAGTTCTGAAATAATTTATCTTTGTCTCATTTTTTTTACATCACAGAAACCGGACATTTTAACAGGGGTGTGTAGACTTTTTATATTCACTGTAATTATCCTTTCAATATCCTTTGAGGCTAATGAGGAATATATTTAAAAGAAATAATTTTTGCATGGTGTTTAACTTTAAAAAATATACTTGTATAACCCTCACTTAAACCTTATAGAAAGAATTGGGAAAATGCAGCATGTCTGTTTTCTCGCTGTGAATTTTGTTTGCCTATTCTCCAGGTCTTATACCCCTGCTGTGTCCACAAAATAATATTCAGATACAGTAAAATAACAATAAAAAAAGACCTATATTTTCAAAGTCTTATGGAAAGTCACCTTAGCTTTAAGCTCATCACCAAAGTTGGAATCATTAAACTCAACAAATCGGAAGAAGAGTGCTCTCTTCTGGGCAATGCTGTACGTCTTGGGAATCTCTTCCTCCATATACTCCTTCAGGAAGGTCATGTTGCATAGGAAACGTCCAGTAAAAGCCCGAAGGAGCTGGAAAAGCAGTTCAATGTCCCCAAAATTGCGTCTGCACAAATCAAAAAGGCAAAACCATTAGACTTGTCAGCACATTATACAGTCAGCTTTATATCATCTTTATCCGCACAAATCTGCAGACTCTTACTTGCAGTAGCTGAGCAAACAGAAGGCCAGAAGTTTGGGTTCTTTCCAGTTTGTTGCCACCATGTTGTCTTTCCGATGTCGCTCTTGAAAGGCATCGCTCACCCACACACGTCTTAAATGACTTACCAATGAATGCTGGTTGGCCAACCAGTTTTCATCATTCTTTACTATAATGCTAATTATCTAGAAAAGAAAAGCAAAGGAAATAAGTAAATTGACCTTTACTCGAATAAACTCTAAACAGTACAGACGAATAGTAAAAAGCCAACATTCACAGCTAACGTAGAATAGTGCAATAGTCACGTCACCGAAGTGAATTATTTATTTAGATTTTAACTAGTCTGTCACCATCACTTGATGAAATACAATTACCAACATGGCCTAGGAGCAATGAGCATAAGCAAAAGATTCCTGGATTTGACTATACTATGCAGCTTCTCTCTTTTTCTCTCTTATTTTAGTAATGAGGTTTACAATTTTCAATTACATCACTAACAGCACCATTCAGGTTGAAATTGTAAGAGGTCTGAAAGTGGCGTTAAGAGTAGCCATACCCACTACAAGCTGATTGTTCTATACATATTACCTTTGTTTACCTTCCCTAAAAAGTCAGATACATTTTTGTCATTATTTTTGGTATTCAAAAGCTTGGGGTCTTAAAATAATAAAGGCAAATAAAAAAAAAAAAAAACACAAAAAATATTTTACTTAGCTGCTCTATGCAGTGGTTTGATTCTCCTCTTCTGGGGTCCCCCATCGTCGCTCCTGGTCCCTCTCTTCCGCAGCATGCCCCCACAGCAAGCAGTCTGCCATGGGGGCACCCATGCAGGCTTGCTCCCGAGCCACTACTTTGTGTGCCCATTCACACACACAGAACTGTGGGCTCAGCCCCACCACCACCCCCCCTCGTTATTCTCATTGGCTCACTGGCTGTGATTGACAGCAGCAGGAGCCAATGGCTCCTGATATTATAAGAGATACCCTAGAAATCTCTATTTACTGTTCCTGCAGCTCTTACAAGTTTCCCAGCTGAAGTCAATGGTAACAGACGCAGGAGATGGGGAATGGCGGAAAGGAATTCATACACTAAATGCCCAAATATCCTTTGCCCAAGCCTAAATGAATAGCTCTGAGATGATTATTTTGTGCCCTTGATATAATAAGGCCCCACTTACCTTGATAGCCTGAAACTGCAAGTCAAGCCGCATTGTTGTGGTACTGGTGCTGGGAGAACCAGGCCTCACCGTGGCTTGTGTCACACCAGGCATTAGAAGGGTAATAAAACGGTTTGGATTAGCAGCCAGCACATCTCGTAATGGTTTTGCATCCTTGTGCTTTAAGAAGCTCTGTGGATGTAAAAAGAAGAAATTCTGAATTGCTACAAATGTTTTTCTCTCATATTTGCCATTTGTTCCCAGCCAGACAGTTGGCACTGCTAACAGTAAGAGGGGGAAACAGAGAAGTAATATCACATGAGCACCTTCTAGTCTCTCACCTTAACCACTAAGGCATTTGTGCAAGAATCATAATGATGATCTCTAGCAGTCAACAGGAACACGCATCTAGAAATAGCAAAGAGGTCACAGCTTCACCTAGGCGACTTGTGATATATCTGCTAAATGCAGCTGCATTGGATTTATTATGGCCCAGATTTAAGGTGAAAAGGAAAGCTTCTTCTGTATACCACTTTGATCCTAGTATCACTTTGTAACTAAAGGCCTTCAATGTTTTGATTGCAAGGCCAAACACCACATACCTTTCCTAGTAACAACATTCCTTACCGGTTACTAAAACAGCTATCATTAGCCAATGTGATGGAGGGTGAGGAGGCTGATCACCAAGGGACAGGGCTGAGCCTCAAAGTGAGGACCTGAAGCCCTCAACATGAACCCAAGATGAAAAAAAGGACACGAAAAAGGCTTTTCTGGCTATCAAAAGGTAATAGAGGCACACTGCAGAAATGGGTCTAACCTTTAGAGGTTTATTCACACCTCTGTGTTTTGGCATGTTGTGATTTGATTTCCACCAAAATGCACCTTTCATAAGGATGAATTGAAGTACACCTATAATGCAAACTAGTGAATATAACCTTAAAATATTAAAAATAAATACATAAAAGTAGATACTAAAAGTACTAGCTAGGCAGAGCTAATTAAAGCAAACCACCTATAAGATCAATGAAAGCTAAAGTTACCATCAACTGGTTGTTTTAGTAAAACCATGAAACAGAACAGTGTGAAGGAACTGAGCATTTAAGGAGGTCAGGAATTAATTCCCCATCATGCAAAAAAAGGAAAACTAAATTGGCTTTCATACATAAAAGAAGCTTGTTTCTACAGGGAAAACTGAAACCTTACCATAAACATTCGACTCCACTGCGGATCATTCAATGTAGCTTCCATCATGAAAAGCTCCACAGTCTGAGACGGGTGCCTGGTTAAGAACTTTATCAAAGGCTCTCTAAATGGACTTCCAGCCTGGAGATTTAAGAGATTAAATTTAAAGAAGAGGCCACACAGAACAAGAGCAAGCCCTGAACTCTGCTTTAACCCCTTGAAATAGCTGGCTGTCTGACAAGTGCCTACTGTAGGTACAAGTAGTAAGGTAGTATTGCATTTTTCATGTCAACGTTGACATGACCATGCAGTAACGGATAAAGTTCCTGCTTGCTATCTACGTGGGGTAGTAAGTAGAAAAAAATCTGCCCCTCTGTAATGAAGCAAAGGAAAAGGAAAAAAAAAACAGCATTAAATGAGCAAAGGCTTAAAACCATCAGTATGTTGGTTTTGGTTTTCGGCACTGGACTTGAAGCGGCAGTAAACTCACTGCAACTACTCCAGTAAAAGCGATTCACAACGTTTTCTGCAGCTTATATTTATTGTAGTCTGTTCTGTTTTAAGAACATGCCCTATTTGCGAAAACATGGACCTGTCACCCATCCCCTCTGCTCAGCAGGGGATCAGCAAAGTAAATTGAATTCCGCCCAGTGTGAATGGGGCTTTTTAGTGAACACAACTTGCAATCTTCCCTTTCTTCTTCATTTAGAAGTTGTCAAAGTTGGGATCGAGCCTGTATGTGCACCTAATTTCCAGCGGAAATATATGTAGGAATCAACAGAAACAGGTGTTATATTCACACCAAACACAATTGTGCCAAACCAAGTGTTAAAAACACTCACCTTTCTCTAACAGTGGCTGCCATGTCAGTTATTTAGAAATCAGATGCGCTCTCACAACTACTGAAGCCACAAAACAGCTGCTTCTACCAGTGTGTAGACAACCAAAAGTGTAAAAACCAACTTACCTCAATTAGCATAGCCCGCTCAGTCTTCATTACAACCTCCAGCAGTGGCTTAACTAGAGTTTGAGGAGCAGCGGGAATAAGGTGAAAGAGATTGATAATTGCTGAACAAATCTTCATTTCCTGCATAAAAGAAAATAAATAACTCAAGATAAAAAAATTCTGCCAAAACACATTTTAAGATAAATGAAGACCAAAATAAAAAATGGCCTTGTTGATCGGGGTGCTTAAAAGAAGAAAAGGTTCATGCTGTCCACAGAAACCATATTTAGGGTTCTCATAGGAGAATGACAGAGGAATTCTCATTAGCTAAGGATTGCAAAAATAATGCTTTGTTTATTCAGGTTAATAAATCAGACCTAACGTCATGGTAGTGAAGCTACCATCTTACTAACAGGTTAAATAGGCCACAATGCTAATATTCAGAATACATTAAAAAAAAAAAAAACGATGGCTTTGACGTTCATGCAAAAACCCCTCGGCTGTAAATGTTCTATTCCACTCAAATTAGATTTGCAGAAATCTGGCTGCTGATGATGGGATAAGGGAATACAGACTCTCCACTGACCAAAATTGGATTTTGTTAAACAGCCTTCTCTAAGGGAGATGGACAATGTCAGAACATGATTAAAATTTATGAAAATTCACCAAGGAAATAAGAGGGAAGCCAGGAGAAAAGCCAGGAGAAAATGGATCAAAGGACTTCACAAGCAGGAACTATATCCCCAACTTTCAGGATGGCTGTCAAAGCCAAGTCTCCCATTAGTGTTGGAGGATGCCACTGCCCAACTCCTGTAATCAGCTCTGAACAGAAGTGTACCCTGGCATAAAAACCTATTAGGAGTCAAGTAGCGAAGGCCTTCATCGCTGAAGATGTGACAGGTTGACAGCTTTCTAAAAAGATTCCCTTTAATTTGTTATTAGATATAAAATCAAAAGTGACTTGCTGGAAGTATAATACGGAAGGTTTTTTCCCAAGTTGGTATTCAACATTCATGTTTTACCAGTTCTCTATTCTGTACAAATAAAAATTTGAAACCAAAATGGAGCTGCTACCAATTTTAATTTCAATGTAGAATGAAATACTAAATTTAATTAGTTACTATGGGCAACATATTCACTATCTGTCCAGTTCCAGCTTTCACAAAATAAACTCAAAGACATGGTTGGTTTATTTCTTCCAAATGTAAATCACAATGGCCTATTCGCTATGATTTTCAGCCAGCGATTGTCACAATCTTTTCTTAATTAGAAGATTTCTGGGATTGTCCACCACTGTGCAATTAATTATGGACAATGAGTTGTGAACATTCATTGTTACATATGATAATCTAATGTTTGAAATTCACTAGGTTTGAGATACCAGCACATAACCTATGACCATTATATCACAGACAACTTCAATGTGCGACAGATGATCACAGCAAACCTGCCTGAGCAGTTTGGGCTACAGTTTAAGGGGAAGAGGCAGCAGGAGCTGGAACATTTTACATATTTAACCTTAAATACAGGTGGAACATGTAACATGTTCCAAAAGATTAAATTATCCTTAAAGGACCTGTTAATATCTGCACATGTGCATTTTAACCATCGTTAATGTGCATTTTAATGGGCTTCTATCGATTTCAATGGGCCTCCAAAGGTGCATGTCAACACATTTAAGAAAAAATAAAATGCATATTTACTTGAGTGGTGTTTTTTACACATAATTTCAAGCATTGGAGTGTGTCCCACAGAAATCAATGAAAGTGCATGAAGGTACATATAAAATTGCACAAAGTCAACCAGCATTAAAACGCACTAGGACGTACACCCTATGATGTCTGCACAACTGTTATTCTGTGAAAAATTGGAACATTTATGGTAATACCCAAAAGAACCCAATCTCAATTGTTCTCAGTTTTCAAATCACGTAGGCAACTTATGAAAGATTTAGGTCAGCCCACTTATTTAATTTAGCTTTGTGTAAGCCTGGTGATTCAACTTTTCAAAAAATCAGAAGACACCAGAAGTCTGGTAGCAGCTTCTGTGTTAATTGCCTACCATCACACACTGGCTCCTAGCTCCTGAGACTGCATAACTGTGTATAACAGATCCCTGAATTAAATTTACTTTCCTTTTAACTGAAGGGTTGTTATCTGACACAGTTACACGCTCGCATCATATGAAATGATTTTGCAAGGTGGTTCACGTGGAACACTTTAGGTGACCTTAGCCCATTGACATTCAAGCTGAAGTATCAGACTCAAAATAGGTAAAAGGAAAATATAAAACTGTCAAAAGCGAGCCTCAAAATGATAATAGTTTAAGGACTGAACATTCATGTTCTTGAGCCTAATTGTGACCAGCTCTTTTTCAAAAGAAAATCTTGGGAAACGCTGGCAAATATCAGCTGAAATCTACAAGCTTTTGAAACCCTAGTTGTACAAATAAGCCATGCAGGTTAACAGCTATTATTTATTGCAACTGGTGCCACAAACATTAACATGACTGCACACAACAAATTAAAGTTACAAAAGCACACAATCTCTTACACAACACAATATATACATTTGGGATCAGTGACCCTCATACCTGTCCTTGTGGACCCTTAACATGCTTACCAGACCCCCTTGTGGACCCTTAACATGCCTACCAGACCCATTTGTATCATCAAAGGTAGGAGTTATAATTAGGTGATTATTGTTGTTATTTTAAGTAGACCTGATTGTACTAAAAGTGTCTGAGTCCCCCTGCACCACCTGAACGTTTCATGTCTATTGGCTGTCTGGCTTCTGGTATTAATACATAAGTAACTGAACCCTACAAGTCATTTGGCCAACAAGAGATGTCTTTCTGGCTGTAGAGTCTAATTAAAATGAAAGGAAAAAAACAATTGAGCTATTCACATGTGTTTGGTGCTGAAGCCAGGTATCGTATACACAACAGCACTATACACAGGGATTGCTTTACAAAAACTGGAAAGTGCAAAATCAGGTGCAGTTGTGCATGTTAGTTTTGACAAAAAAAAAAAAAACCTGGAAGCAGATTGGTTTCTAGTCAGAGCTGTACCAGATTTTGCAATCTCCAGTTTTAGTAAATCAACCCCATAGTCTTCGATTAACCACAGTGAACAGAACTCATGCAAAGTGATTTTGGCACACTAGAGAACACCCATCTACTCTTAAAACCCCTCTGTGATGGGGATCTGGTAAACAGAGTAATTTATAAACTTTAGTCAAAAGGAAAAATGAAGCAGTCATCAATAGCAACCATTTAGAATTTGGCTCACAAGTTCTAGCCTGTAGCAAACATAAAAAAAAGCTTAAACCCGACTGGATGCTATGGGCAATGCCCTCATTTTTCTTTGGGCTAGTCTATATGAATAAGCCCAAATGGAAAGGACACCAAAGAACAAGTCTGAGGATACTGTTAAAGGCAATGTCAAGAATACAATAGACCATGACGACACAACTTTCTGGACAGCTCCAATTCTCACCTCTACCCCTTCCATGGCAGGCTGGACCAAAAAAAGATGACAATGAGAATTTAAAGAGTGTGGGTGTGTACTATACATACAAGCACCAGCCTTCAGCCATTGTTATTTCTCCAAGACACTCACACCTGCATAGAAGCTCTGAGTATTTGCTTTTGTTATTTCCAAGTAACATTAAAGGGATTTAAAATATCAGATGATGTGACTCCAGAGAGACTCACACAATTTATATAACAGTAATACAGCATACCACAAAACATACAGAAATTAATTATCAAATCAGTAAGCATTCAGCCATTAGGAAGCTCAAAGTGCAACAGCCAGTAGTACCAAATCAGAAATCACATTAGTAAGGTATAAACCTGGCATCTCACTGGTTGATATGGCTTAGAGCACCTTGCATTCCCAACTCCTAGCAATTTTCTCTGCCTCAGCTTGGAAAGTAGAGTGAGTTAGTTCTGACCTTAATTACATATGTATTAAACTCATAGCAATGAGTTACTGTTGTGAGATGAGTTAAGGTAACCCTGTCACAAACATGGGCCATTCACACTGAAAATATGCATTAAGCAAAAGCATTTTCAGCTGACAATTTAACTACTTACTGAGTGTGCAGGCTCTTTATGCTGGTGCCATGACCATTGCCCTGGTTTCCTGTTTCAGCTTTACTTCATTCTAGCAACATTAAATGGAGCCACCCTTGCATGCAGGAACTAAATCGGTAACTATCTACACTGTGTGCAACAATGGAAACACACAGCCCTATAGCCCAGGATGACTCCCCTGCTCCTCCCTCCTCCTAGTTAACAGACTAGCTGGAGACTGCACCGTCCACTGTTAATTCTTACCTGTGAAGACCAGAAGGTCAGGAAAGCAGAAGAGAGAACAGGAGCCAGCAGTAAATTGCAAGTGCTGGGATACAAATTTTAAATAATATGTAAACTCAACCTTTCATATTTCCTGATAAGTAATTATGTAGCTCAGGGAAAGTCAGAAGTGTTAGCAGCCCCTTTTTGCATACTCATGCTAGGTAAGAGACTCCAAGTATTGAAGTAAAGGGGGATTAAATCTGACAGAGAGGCAATTCATTTTTTTTTAGAAGTAGAGCTTGGTATAAAAAAAAAAAAAAAAAAAAAACGCAATATGTCTTTTAAAGCAAACAGAAGGATATCTGAAGTGGATGGGTCATCACCCATAATGATGAAAGATGATGTGAAAAGAAATAAGGTTGGATTTGTAAAGCTGCTGTATTTAGCTAGACATATCAAATGGGCTAATGTATTTTAAAACTGCACTCATCCTTTAAAGTCAGGCAGTATTAATATCTCCAATCAAGAGTGCAGATAAAGCCATTCCCATTCATTAGCTCCTTGTCTGAAGTTCTGTGCCCACAACCTAAACACCTCTAATGACAAACTTGCTCTCTTTCGAAAGTAGCAAAAATCAATTACTGTGTGTATATTTTTATTCCCTTTCCTCTAGGCAAGAGCTCTCTCTCAGTACAGGTTGGAAGAGATAATACGACTCTTAAATTGCACTGCCAATAAGTTATATCACTTTGAAGCAGACAAGGATAGGAGAGAAAATAGCAGAAATGCTGGACAAAAAAAGTCAGCATGGCCTGTACTTACATTGCCTTCACTTCTTTGTCCTCCTTTGTGGGTGATCACTACAACTTCCATCCATTTACGCAGGTGTTGCTGTGAGGACAAAGCAATTGTGGAGATTAGGAGAGTTCTTTAAAAAGGATCTGATCACGAATGTGAAACCCAATGGTAAGTCTGCCTAAGTTCCTTGCAAAGGTTTGATTGCCTTATATACACCATGCATTGGACCTTCCATGAATACATCAAATAACTAACCCAAATAAAATAAGTGCAAATCTAGGAAATATGTGTATTGAAAGGCCAAGTCTGTTCAAAAATGTATTTTGAATTTGGGAAGTCAATTGTAGGTCGTTTTAACTACCATCATCTTATAAGTCTCATGGTCTCCAGTTATAAGAGTAGTTCCTTAGAGATCTCAGATCTGCACAATTTCTTTTAAAATAAAAGCAAGGTAGGATTATAAACTTTGTCTAGCTATTATAGTTGTGTTTCCAATGACAGAAGAGTCATAACAGGCAGCTTGGCCTTTTTTTGAATGTTTTTTTATGCAGCAACAGATTTGTTTAATTTCCCGACAATGTTCAAAATTCCAAACTAAAAAGACTTTATGCCTCAATACACAATACCTGTAAATTATGAACAATTTAATTATATCCAGGAAATTCAAGTCAATGAGCATTACAGGTAGCAACCCTAATCAAAATCCATAAAAAAATCCCCCCCCCCCTTACCATCATCTGATCACAAAATTTATCATTGAAGGAGTTAGGGAACAGCCGGGTGACAGACGTTAAGCGATTTACAACATTAAGAGTCAAGCTCCGATAGTCTCCAAGCATCATCAGTAGAGGCCTCATGTGGGTATGAATCTGGTCTACCTCTATTGTAGCTCCCTCTAAAAACTGCAATGAAAAAAAAAAAAAACACTTGGTTGAAATTTATTAAAAAAATATTGAAGAGACAATTACTACTTAGTTCAGGTAAAATAGATACAATTCCTTGTTTCAATTGTCAAAATAATGGGTGCACTACATCCAAGATTTTAGGTGGATTCATTTCATGATCATGCTACCTAAGTAACTGAGAAAGCCCCTGATGTTCAGCCCAACCAGCCTACTCACTGAGTCTTCAGAGATAGGGCAAGTGCTGAGGCAATGCCAGCAACTGTGGACCTGGAAAGCTCATGGTAGACTATCAGAAAGTGCCCTACACAGAATCCAGTGCCTGAAGGCAATTTCCAGGCAATAGCAACAACATCCAGTCCGGATGCAGTACTCAAAGGCCATGCTAAGGACAACCGTGCCAGAGAGCTGCAATGAAAAAGAAAAAGCTCCAGAAGCAATGTAGAGCAGTTTTTAATTGAAGAAAAAAATAGGAGAAGAAAACTGAGTGCCTGCAATAAATATGTCTAGTCTTACACAGCAGAACTGAAAGTACATCCATCCCGAACATGAGCAACGCTGGTAGTTATCATTCGATGGTGTACAGGTTTTTTTATTTACCAGTGTCTAATCCTCCTGCAGGCAACAGTATTACCAAAATTGTAAGACTTGCTGTGCCCTTCGATAGATGAGAATGGATTTGCAGATTACATGGTTCCCCACAGATCAAACATATCTGTGTGCAGGAAGACTACAGAATAATTTGTTCATCTCTAACCATGAGATACAAACTATCACAAGGCAGTATATGCAATGGACCAGAGTCCCAAAAAAAACAAGCTACTAGCAGGCTTTAGTGAGCTCCAGCGCTACTCGAAGCTTGTTGAACGTCTGCTGGCACCTTGATTAAAAAGTGATAGTCACCTTTCTGATTAAAATCTGTGATTGACATTTACAAATTGGAACTGAAAAGTTTTTTTAATGCCTTCAGCAAAAAACTCTTTGCTGCTTGTTGAAAGCTCTGCAAATACTTTTCAAAAGATTACTGTACACACTGCTCCTGTACAAGTTGATGTTTGTGTACAAAAGGCCTATAGGCAAGGCAAGTATGGTGTCATACTTAAAGTGTTACTAAACCCAGGACCCTGCATTCGCTATATATGGTCTCCCACAGTACACAGAAAATGGAAATGCAACTATTTTAGTAAATAAAGTGCTAAATAACTTATCATTAGCAGTTGAAGCAGTCTTGTGACTTCGATCAGTGTTCAGCAGAGCACTAGTTAAAGCTTGGAGGAGTTTTCTTTCTGCTCTAGCAGGATGCAGAACACCCCTGACCTCTGTCTGGACAGTGCTGATTGGCCCTGTGCTGATCACATGCACTCTCCCAAGGAAAAAAAAAAAAACCTCTCTAGCAATACACACCAAACTGAGCATGTGCAGAGTGCCTCCACACGATGTGTCTTATCAGGAGATAAGAGGGGGATACTGGAAAAAGGGGAGAACCAGAGAAGTCAGGATCAAAACAGCTTTTTTACACAATGCAGAGGATTAAACCCCTAGGTTCCAGGCAAGTATAACAAGCATTTTAGTAACACTTTAATATAAGAAAGTACAACTGAAGATTTTGGAAAATGGTGTTATATGCTTATCTAACTCCTCTTTTTCAATATTCATGTACAGTGCATGTATGTAAGTGAAAGAAGCCAAATCAGCAGGTAATGCAGTCCTGATGGGTATGTCACCTTAGTTTTCCTTAGATCCACTTTCATGACAAATGCCATAAAGTGATTGTCTGGCACTGGCATTGCTTAAGCCATGGGTGCTCAACCTGTGGTACTCTAGCTGTTGTGAAACTACAAGTCCCATGAAGCATTACAAGGCTAACAGTTACAAGCGTGACTCCCAAAGGCAGAGGTATGATGGGACTTGTAGTTTGACGACAGTTTGGGAATCCATGAAAGCAGATGTCCCCCTAAAACAAGCACAATCAGCTTCATTCTGGTCTTCTTACCTTCCTCATGCATGCTTCACCAGCCTCCTGCAGCTCATTATTTGTAGAGTTCAGGGCTTTAAAGAGAGCTGCAATGATTTTCTCTCTAGACTGTGGCAAGTAGTTGCAAGCTGCTAAGGCATCTGTTCAGACAAGACAGAATCCATTTTTACTTATGATCATACTATTAAGACAAACGTACAGTCTACTTACATCCAAGGGCCACATAACGCAAAAAGCAAGCTATGCGCAATGAGGAAAGCAATGGACTTACTTAAAGCTGCAATACGCAACGGGACAAGGGAAGAAAGGCTTTTATAACATGGAAGTTTCATTAGGGTGGCATCTTCTGCTTCACATAGGTTCAGGAGCTGTACCATAAAAAAAAAAAAAATTCAATCAAAGCAATGCATTTGTGAAAGCTGGAGGCCTGTCACTATATTTAATTTACACATATTTGCTGTTGTGTAGTTTATCCAACCCTTTTTAGCTATTTCTGTATTTTACTACATTCTGTATTTGAGTCTGTGGTTATTTTCACTGCATTAGCAAAGCTATATATGAACACATGATGTCAGTCTCTGCCTGGGATAAATGCTCATCACAGTTAATGGACATGAGTGGCTCATTCACTGACTGGGAATCTACGTCACTTTATTTTTGCCTTTATCCTGTCAATCACAGGATGTTAAAAAGTGTGAGGGGACTAAGCAACACCATGAGTCGCATGTCACTGAAGATAGCTGGCTGTTTCAAAAGAAGGATGCTTAGGCAGGCCATAGATAATGTGATTTTCCTTCGTGAAGCACAGGTTACAGGAAAATAAATCACTATTACTCCATCATCACGGTCAGTTGACAGCGGAATCATACCCACAGAGCCACTGTGTTCTCCCGGTGCAGGATTGCTGTGAGCCATCCCTGCCCGGAGAACACAATGATTATTGCTAGCAGCTAAAGCCGCTGGCAATAACCGAATGTTAGAAATCCAATATGTTGGTTGTACCCAAGTCAATCAATGGATTGACTTGAGTACAATCATTCTGACAATCAGTCGGTCCCTGCTGAACTGGCCAAGGTTTCGAACCATCTATGGCCGGCTTTAAAAACTGATTCGCAGACAGAATACAGATATTGCACTGAACATTTATTAAACCACATGTGGTATATGGATGTTTAGTGTTCACTGAGAACTCCTATGGTGAATTTCCACTTGAAATTGCTCCTGCATAAATGTGTACTTGTAAATACCCACCAAGGCAAAACATAATGAATGCATCTCAGATTTGGGCCTTTTCAATATCCAAGCTTTTCAAACAAAAACTTTCTTTATTGTCACCTAGCAACCAAATTAAATCTTTTCCACATTGTTATTTTTCATTGCAGATACGGTTCGAACGTCTTTGAGGCAACACTAAATGTTTTCTGTGTTTTAAATTAGGTGGTCTTTTGAGTCAGTTTACTATTATACTGCAAATGAAATACCTCGGAGTAAAAAACTTTATGTTCTACAACATTGAGATCCATAGTGAAGAGTCTTGGCTGCAGGGTGGTGCAGAAAGTGTTGCCTTCCATTAGCCCAATCTGAGCATTAGCAGGCTGGTGTCTCAGTAGATGCTTCTTTGGAGGGACCATGTCCTGCAGGACCTACAGAGAACAAGCAACAATCTGAATCTAAGTGTTAAAAGGTATCAATTAGAGAAAAGATTTCATAAAATAGATGTATCACTCTAAGTGAGCAGAAGATTAGAAGCATTATATAAAAAACCAAAAGAACCTTTGGTAACATATTTCAGATATATCTTAGAGTTTCTAAAGTGTATTACACATAGACAGATAATTAAAAGAGATCAGGAAATGGAACAAAAAAAAAAATTATACTCATCTAGGCAGATGCAGCATCCGTCCAAAGCTTCATCTGTTCCCTGCCTGTGTCTCTGGAGCGATCAAAGACTCTAGGTCTTCAGTGAGTGACTGCCAGTAATCAGATCTCTGCTCTTCCATGGCTCATTGGAGCACTGGGCTGTAGAGGGGGCAGGAACAGGCTGGCTCCGGCTCTCACCCGCTCACTATGAGGCTGAGCCTGCTGCCAGTCCAGACATCTGGGAAGCTCCCCCTCCACTGCCATATTTGGCACCTTTTTGGGGGAGCGGATACCAGTTTTTGACAGGTACCCACTCCCACTTCCTCCGCAGCGAATTGAGCCGGATGTTCGGCCCCTTCCTCCCTCCCACAATCTCCTGGGAACTTTCACAGGTCCCAGAAGACTGTCGGACCAATTAGGAGGCGCAGCACAACTCGCGCATGTGCAGTGGGCACCAGGCTGTGAAGCCAAAATCTGTCACACCCTGGTGCCCATAGTTGAGATGCAGGTGCCGAGCCGTGGAGTAGAGAAGGGGAGAAGGGACGGAGCAGGTGAGAACATCGCTGGACTCGGGGGACAGGTGAGCGTGTGTTTATTAAAAGTCAGCACCTAACGTTTTTGTAGTTGCTAACTTAATATACACAAATCCACTGGAAATCCGCTCTGGGTTCACTTCTATAGAGCCATAGGCAGAAACCCCTGCCTGAGAGTACTCATGGAAAGACCAGTATTGCTGTATCCAGTATCGTTGTGTACAAGCCTAAGCAAAAATGACGTAAAAAAAAAAAAAAAAGGATACCACTGGATTCAGAATCTGTTAATTAAAATCTCAAAGAGGAGCTTCAGTCTCCCCCAAGAAAATGAAAAGTCAGCAGCTAGGCAATCCAGGCGGAAGTAGGAGGGGGTACCTGTCAAAACTAGGTACCCACTCTACCCAAAAAAATAAAAGTGTGCAAAAAAGTGGTAGAAGAGAGAAGGAGGAGACAAACAAGTGGAACTTCAACCTTTGAGCGAAGTTCTGCTTTAACAAGTTTAAGGATCCCAGCAATTTCATACCTCTTTATGGGGTTCCATAATCATAGTGACCCCTTTGCCAGTGACTTGTGCCAGGACCTGCAGAGAGTGCATTGCTTGCTTTCTGACAGTAGGGTTAGGTGAGGTCACTTCCCGCACAAGATCATGCGTCACCAAATGGAACGACTTTTCCTGGGCGTTTGTGATATCTTCCGTTTTCTCCTCATCTTTCAGTGGAGTTGCGCAGCGGATTAAAAGCTGCTCTAGAGTAGTCTTCGCCATGGCGACAGCTCCATTAGAAACCTGGGACATAACAGAGGAAGGGATTTTAAAGCAAAAACATTTTAGAAGCAAAATTCTTTCCGGGACTCATGCTGTACATTCTAAACTGATTATTCTGTGATGAGTTCAAAGATGTTAGAATTTTATGCTTTCTTAATTTAAATGTTTTAAAAGATTTAAGTAGTTATTTTTCATTTCAAAAAGTACAAATTACATTTTTTGCCTATATTTTATTGGGGTTGTGTAAGGTAATCATTCTAATAAAAAAAAAGTGCTGCTTTGTGGCATTCATTATTCTTTCAAAGAAGCCAAAATGTTTCCTTAGAAATCATATCAATGCAATAAAAGAAACAATAAACTACATAAAAAGAAAGTAAAACGTATTCCTGAATACAGTGTGAACAATAATGATGCAAATTAAACTCTGAAGGCTCCATTTTTCCAGGCTTTTTAATGGCTGCTGTGCAGGATACTGGTTCTCTGCATGTCATCTACATGCCGAATAATCACACGACTCTCAGTAATGGAACAGTGCTAACAACAACTAAAGCATTGAAGTCTTTATATAATAAATACCTCTCCAGTCAAGTCCATCATGACGAAGAGAAGGGCTTTAAGGAACGTTTGTTGATTTTGAAGCACCCAAATCAGAGGAAGGCGTTCCATCAGGAACTTAATGGAGACTACTCCACCAAGCTTCGCATACCAGGCCTGCTCATAGCAGCAGGCACATAGACGCTCCACAATGTAAGAAAACAATGGCAACTGGCACGCCTGCAAGAAACAAAAAAAGAAGAAACTTCCAGCAAAAGTAATCAACCCAATAGCATTTACAGAGATCCTATCATGATAGAAGACTCAGAGGTACTTGGCTACAAGTGTTCTGAGTATTCTGACAGACTCATTATTCTCAGTGCCTACCTCTACCCAGGAGAAAAGTTTACAGCAAAGAACACATATAAAGCCTGCTAAATACGGATTCTGGTGTGGAAAGCCACTCAGTAAAACTAAAAAAAATGAGCATGAAAACTGAACCCTTTAAGTTTAAAGAATGCACATCCTCTTTCATTCCTTAAAGTGAACCTGTGCCCAGAGCAAACACACTAAAGTGTTTACATATTCTGAACAAGCAGTAAAAGTAAGTCCCACATTCACCCCTGTATCCACAAGCATTGTGGAGAGATTAATTTTCAAAACTCACAACATGAGCATTGAAATCTTAGCTGTGTTTCTATGAGAAACTGTGTTAGTCTGCCAGCCCTCTAATGCTAAAAACTGACAAGTATGTCTAAGCTGTCAGGAAGTCTTTGTTGTGATTTTTGAGAATTAATAACTTCATTATAAAAAAAATAAGAAAAAAAAAGCCAGAGATGTCTTGTTTTGAAGCTATTTTTCTGCTTGTTAGGAATATGTAAATAATTTAATGTCCATATTCTGTGCATATGTGCACTTAAAGTAAATGTGAACCATCACCTTGTAAAACAACCCATTCGGGTTAAAATGAAAAAAAAGAAAAACTAGGGGATTTATAATGTTTTTACAATTGATCACATAACCTCTGTTCTCAGCTACAAAAAAGGCTTAGAGAGCTGGGGAAGAAAGAACAGTACACCGATCTTCCCAGTGAATGGCTGTGCAGGGGCGGTGTGAACATGTCTGCACAAGTCTGAATATTGGAAGAGGACATCCAGGCTGTGCCCCAGCTTAGCCATAAAACTGACCATACTGGGAAGGACGTACTCTCGTACCTAGCATGGTCAGTGTGGAAAAGGAAAGCTGGGGGACTGGCAGAATCACCAGGTATTTCACATAAAGGAAGCAATACAAAGAGAATGGGATACTATTTAATACATGTACATGGTACAACAGACTCATATCAGGAATATAAAATGTTGGGGCAACATATTTTTTAAAGCAGAACTTTGGCCTCCCTTTAGAATTTTCTCTTGTGTATCACACAAACACCTGCCTGTGAAATCCACCCTATGCAGCTTCCTGTGGAGGTGTAGAAATTATACTGCACCGCTTCTGAATTTAATAGCAGAGTTGCACTCTTGTATAGGCTGTGCCTGCTTGCTCTACAGTGGGATGGAAATATGTTGTGGGATATGTAGATTTCAGCATATTTATTGCTAATTTACAAGCACAAATGAAGGTGGATTTGGCTCACAAAAAAGTAAAGAAAGTTTTTTGTTTACATTATAAGGCTTGGGCATTACAGAGTAAGTGGATATAGTACTTGTTTGCTCTGTCATACAGGAACCTTTAGTTTTACTTAAAGTTGCTGTAAAGGCGCAAGGTTTTTTACCTTCGTGCATTCTATGCATGAAGGTAAAAAAACCTTTTTCTGTGCAGCATCTCCCTCAACCCCCTCACCAGTGCTCACTCTAGCCCCCTCTCGATCCAACGATATGCCACTGGAGTTTCGGCTATCCTGGGACTCCCTCTCTTCATTGGCTGTGACAGCAGCGGAAGCCACTAGCTCTCGCTGCTGTCAATCAAAGCCAGCGAGCCAATAAGAAGAGAAAAGGGGTGGGGCTGAGTCGCAGCTGTGTGTGTGAATGGACACGTGGAGCAGAGGCTTAGAAATGTGCCTGCTTGGTTGCCCCCATAGTAAGTTGCTTACAGTGGGGGCACCCAACAAGAGGAAGGGGCCAGCTGGGGACTGGAGAAAAGAAGTATCTGATGCAGGCTGCTCTGTGCAAAACCACTGCACAGAGCAGGTATGTACAACATGTTTGTTATTTTTTTTTTTTTAACTTAAACCTTTATTATCACTTTAAAAGCAGACCTCGCAGAAAGATATCGAAGTCTACTTATTTATTTAGTTAGGTTCCGTCTCATCTCAAAATGCTACAAAACGAAAGAAAAAAAAAAATAACAGGTAAGTAACACAATGATGTCCTCCCTGCACCCCCAGCTTTCTAATTAGATAGGGAAGGAGCAACAAAAGATTGATGAGATCACCTTTCTGCTCTCTCCCATCCCTTGTCAGCTCATGTGAACCCAAGACAACTGACTGACCCCTCGTGCTGATCCACACTACCAGTATAAGTGCTGCAGAACAGGGATAGCAAAATGCAGATACCAAGTCAGTTTCAGGTACTTACCACAAGTTGCATTTTATCTGCCTTGAGTTCAGCTTTAAAAAAAAAAAAAATCAACAAAGCAAAAAAAAAAAAAAAACAAACAAAATACCCATGTAAAAGGTGGGCATTTAAAGACAAGGACAAGTGAAGTGTGTTTACCCTTTCTTTTGATCCCAAGATAATGCTGGCAACATCAAATATTACAGCCAGGGCCACCTCCCCTATCTTGCACAATTCTTTTTCCTCATAGGCCATGCAAATTGCAATAGCATCAATCAGTACAAGTGGGTCCATGCCTTTTGAGCCGTTTTCCTCGCTGTGAAACATGGCAGTGCTGGGCTGGCTGCCAACTTGGTAGCACTGCAAGAGGAATGGACCTAGAAAAGATAAAAGCACAAGCTCAGGATTACATGAAGTCCAACTTACCGTAAGTCTCACGCCTTCTAATCTTTTTAAAGGCACTGCAATTACAATGATCTCACGGTACCAAAAAACAAACTAGAAGTTATGGGAGAGGTAGGTCCTTTCGATTTTCTATATCTAAAGGTCCTGAACAAATGTGATTTTTGGTTTCCTCAATGAATTTTAAAAAAGAAAAAAAACTCTACATTTCTGAGCACGTTTCATGTTACATGAAGGAATGCAGTCTGTAGAAGCTATAGCATTGCAACCTGCAAATGCAAAAAAATAACAGATGCACATTTTTGCTTTTTGACAAATAAGTGCATTTATATATTTTTTTAAATAAGGTATTCATTTAATGTCACAAAAATCATCTTTATATTGCATTAGGTAGCCAGCTACGTTTTCTAAAACTGTGCAAAAATTTATATTATTACTTTTTTTTTTTAAGATCCTCGGAAAAAAAAAAAAACAAAAACAAACAATTTTGCAGTACGTTTTAATTATCCCATCCCCTGCTCACATTATTGCCTTACTGCTTGCTCCAGGAGCCTGCAAAGACCTTTAGGGCTGGTTCATTCCAGGAATCACACAGGAACGGTGCAATTGGAGCCCGTTTTTGTTTTGAATGAGATAAAAAAAAAACGCACTGGACTGCAGCAAAAAGTAAACACAGTGCAACCAGATCACATGGTACAGAAGTACCACGCGATCCAGTGCACGAAAACGCACTGCATTTGAGACCTGCCTGTGAGGTGTCATTAACTTAATATACTGACACCTGCTGCAGATCGCAACTGAAATGCATTCTGAACGTGGTGCAAGAAATATCAGCACAGTTTCTGGTGTGAAACGAACACTTACGGCGCATGATGATGGTCTGCATTTTCCAGCATTTGGGACACACATCAAAACGCAATCGGCATGATCCTATTTAATTTAATTGGCAGTTCAGAGTCTGCATTTGACCTGCTTTGGAATGTATTGCCTTTTTTGGACTCAGCATGTCCTATTGAGGTGCATTTGAACTGCAGGCAATGCAGGTCTACGCAGACTTTTCTTTTCAAATGCTTTGTCAGTTTTATTTTCCAGTAGCTTTGTCCTATTTTGCTAGGGAGCGAAAAGTAACAAAATCCCGTTGAGGTGGAGGAATGCAAGAAACTTTTTACTGCTGTCTGCTTCTCTACTGGAGATTTTCTTTCAATTTCCATCAGTGTGAAAATCTAACCAGCTCAGGAGATAAAGTCTCCCCAACCAAAAAAAAAAAAAAAAAAAAGAAGATTGCGGCTCTGTTCCATATCCGACACATTAAAAATAATAATTAAAAATAAATATATATATATAAGTTTGAAGATGCAGGAATTGCAGTGATTTCTGTACCCACAACCATCCATAGTCAAAACGCACCGCTGTCATTCTGAATGACACACCTCCATACACCTAAAAATGTTGCACATTTGAGGGTGCAGGAATCACAGAAAAATTGAATGGTACTTTTCCCGGCCGCTGTGTTTTTAGAATGGTGCAGAAACATTTTTCCTGCGGGAAGCAAAGGCACGGTAGCCCATTCAAATGTATAGGATGCTAGTGCAAACATGGGCCGTAAACCAGCATAGATGTCAACCAGGCCTTAAGTCAACTTACATCCATCCTCCCCATTTTAATTTTTGTCAAAGTACCATATTTTTCGCTCCATAAGACACACTTTTTCCCCCCCAAAAAAAGGGGAAAATGTCAGTGCGTCTTATGAAGCGTAAAGCGGCCGGTCCGGTATTTCTGCCGCCACCATGTCAGAATATCGGGCCGGCCGCTCAGCTCTTCTCTCCTGCAGGACTTACCTGTTCCTCGCTCCAGCACTGCAGTCTTCCCATGGCGGCTTCTGTGACAGCCGGCTGCCCACTGCGCATGCGCGAGAAGCGCTGCGCTTTGTGAATGGTCCGGCTTCTTCTGGGACACATGACAGGTCCCAGAAGGCTCCGGGCCATTCACAAAGTGCAGCGCTTCTCGCGCATGCGCAGTGGGCACCCGGCTGTCACAGGAGCCGCCGCGGGAAGAAGGAAGGACAACTCAGCGGAAGTGGGAGCGGGTACCTGTCAAATTCAGGTACCCGTTCCCCCTCCCTCCCCAAAGGTCCGCAGTCTCTGGTCATCCCCTGCACTGTCTGCAGTCTCTGGTCATCCCCTGTACTGTGTCCGCAGTTCTCTGGTCATCCCCTGTACTGTGTCCGCAGTTCTCTGGTCATCCCCTGTACTGTGTCCGCAGTTCTCTGGTCATCCCCTGTACTGTGTCCGCAGTTCTCTGGTCATCCCCTGTACTGTGTCCGCAGTTCTCTGGTCATCCCCTGTACTGTGTCCGCAGTCTCTGGTCATCCCCTGTACTGTGTCCGCAGTCTCTGGTCATCCCCTGTACTGTGTCCGCAGTCTCTGGTCATCCCCTGTACTGTGTCCGCAGTCTCTGGTCATCCCCTGTACTGTGTCCGCAGTCTCTGGTCATCCCCTGTGTCCGCACTGTGTCCGCAGTCTCTGGTCATCCCCTGTACTGTGTCCGCAGTCTCTGGTCATCCCCTGTACTGTGTCCGCAGTCTCTGGTCATCCCCTGAACTGTGTCCGCAGTCTCTGGTCATCCCCTGTACTGTGTCCGCAGTCTCTGGTCATCCCGCAGTCTGTACTATGTCCGCAGTCTCTGGTCATCTCCTGTACTATGTCCGCAGTCTCTGGTCATCTCCTGTACTGTGTCCGCAGTCCCTGGTCATCTCCTGTACTGTGTCCGCAGTCTCTGGTCATCTCCTGTACTGTGTCTGCAGTCCATTGGTTCAGAAGGGACACCATCTAGAGGACAGAAGCAGGTAAGAATTTGCACTTTTCCTAAAATGTGTGAATTCTAGTTAACCTGAAGTGGTTTGTTTCATTTTTGGATGGAGCAAAGGAGGGTTATAGCCCTTTGTTTCTTTTTTTTTTTTTGCTATCTGTGTTTCACTGTTCCTTTTACATCTTGTCCCATAGCCAAAACAGGAATTGAGAAAATCCTTCCAAAGTGAGGGAATCCCAAGGTGTCACCAGCGTCCCCAGAGCTAATGTTCGCATTGGAGGATTTCACCTCTATTACTGTTTTGATAACAACCCAAAAATCTGGGATTTTCTTTTACTTTCAATGATAATGGTATACAGGACAAATGGAGAAGGTGAATCTCCCTAACAGACAGCTATACAAAACTGACAGGTGTTCTAATCCTTGTCCATTTTATCCAAAACTGAAGAAAAAAAAAAAGTTTTGTCTTTAATGACACTTTAAGCATACAATGTCTTAACCTTGGAACTAGCTGTAGCCATCCTTAACCGCTTACCGACCGCCTCATGTAGGAGTAAGGCAGCAGAGCGGCTCTCCTGTTCCGGATCACGTATCTATTATGTGATCTGGCACTTCTGGGTAGGGGGTGTGCTGGCTGTGCTGTGATTAGTCACAGCATAAGCAGATCAGCTGGTGCTAGCCAATGATTGACCCACAGCACCCGCTGATCGGCAAGGAGGAAGACAGGGCAGAGCTCTGCAAATGTAAACAAAATTATGTAGCAGAATACGTATTGGCCTAAATTTATGAAGAAATTAGATTTTTTTTTTTAAGATATGTTTTATAGCAGAAAGTAAAAAAAAAACTTTTTTTTTAACGTTCAGTTTTTTTTTTTCGTTCATATCGCATAAAGATAAAAAAACTAAGTGGCGAGCAAATAGCACCAAAAGAAAGCTCTATGTGTGAAAAAAAATTATATAAAATTATATTTGTGTACAGTGTTGCATTTGTCACTTAAAGTAATGCAGTGCCAAAAAGCAAAAAAAATGGCCTGGTCATGAAGGGGGGTAAATCTGCCGGAGGGCAAGTGGTTAATCATATGACTACTTACCACATTGCTGAGCTACAGCTACCATAGTGTAATGGCGAATAAGGCTGGCAACAAAGGGCAGTGCGCTTGGCCTCAAGTCCTTGATGACGGCAGACATGAAGGCCCCAGTCAAGGCCTGCTCAAAGGTCTTGCGAGCTGGCGTGTCCTGAGCCTTGTATCGATGTGAGATTATGACACTAGGTATAGACTTTTCTGTGAAACTAAAAAGGAAAAAGGACATTAGCACTGTGGCAAAAGAAAAAAAAAAAAAAAAAAAAAAGACTAAAAACATGTTATTAGCAGCCGAGCGCGAATGCCATAAATTCTGATTATAAAGGCGTTTCTCTGCCCCTCCATTCCTCACATAGGACAGGTCTGATCCAACTCATCTACTTCATTTTCATTTTCTCCCCTATTAGGCAGAATCAAGACGGATGGCTCAATCTGACATAGAGTATTTAAAGGCTTCAGTCCAGGGAGGCAGGCAGACTCCATAAAAACATTGAGCAATAGCACAAAGTAAAAGGCTATTAGGAAGCTGGCCTTTTCGTGCCTTTTTAATCTAAAATGGGAGGCTTGGTATTAACTTGGAAAAGCTAGGTTATGAAGAGCTAAACTGTGGGATCGGGTGTTTACTGGCCCTTATATGTTTTCTGTACAAGGATACCGCAATAAACCTCAGCATTTGCATAAAAAGAGAATATAAAAGAGATAATGCAAGAATCAGTAATGCTTTATGTACATCTGATATCTAGAACTGCAAAAGATTCCTGCAAAGTAATACAACTCTACCTTTGTGCTGAAATCATTCTTATAGCTAGAACACATTAGAGGGACATTTATCAATATTCCCACATCCACTGCAACCATTATTCTATCGCACAATTTGCAGCTTATTATTTTACATAGTCAGGTTGAGAAAAGACAAGTCCATTTAGTTCAACCAACAGAAAATAGAAATAGAAGTCTCCATATACATGACCCTGTACCAACAGATGATCAAGAGCAGTGGTCTCCAAACTGTGGCCCTTTGCTTGCCTTTATCCGACCTTTGAGGCATTATTCCTGCCACTGACAGCAACAATGGGGCACGATTCCTGCCACTGAAAAAAAACAATGGGGCATGATTCCTGCCGCTGAAACAAACGGGCATGATTCCTGCCACTGAAACAATGGGGCATGATTCCTGCCGCTGAAACAAACAATGGGGCATGATTCCTGCCACTGAAACAATGGGGCATGATTCCTGCCGCTGAAACAAACAATGGGGCAAGATTCCTGCCGCTGAAACAAACAATGGGGCAAGATTCCTGCCGCTGAAACAAACAATGGGGCATGATTCCTGCCGCTGAAACAATGGGGCATGATTCCTGCCACTGAAACAAACAATGGGGCATGAAACAAACAATGGGGCCCTGCCACTGAAACAAACAATGGGGCATGATTCCTGCCACTGAAACAAACAATGGGGCATGATTCCTGCCGCTGAAACAAACAATGGGGCATGATTCCTGCCGCTGAAACAAACAAGGGGGCATGATTCCTGCCACTGAAACAAACAATGGGGCATGATTCCTGCCACTGAAACAAACAATGGGGCATGATTCCTGCCACTGAAACAAACAATGGGGCATGATTCCTGCTACTGAAACAAACAATAGGGCATGATTCCTGCCACTGAAACAAACAAGGGGGCATGATTCCTGCCACTGAAACAAACAAGGGGGCATGATTCCTGCCACTGAAACAAACAATGGAGCATGATTCCTGCCACTGAAACAAACAATGGGGCATTCCACCGAAAAAAAAAAAACCAATGCACTATTCCTCCTACTGACACCAACTATTTCTCCTCGTAATACCAAAGAATGGGTATTGTTTACTCCCACTGGGCACAGTCCAACCCCCCTAAAGTTTGAAGGACAGTAAACTGGCCCTTTGTTTAGAAAGTTTGGAGACCCCAATCCACAGGAATGCAAAAAAAATCCTATATAAAGCATAATCCAGTTTCCTGTACCAGGGAAAAATAAATTCCTTTCTGATCCCCCAGAAGGCAATCATATTCCCTGGATAAATAGTCTCTGGTGTTATTAACTATAAATGTTAATATCCAGTTATTTTTGTGCATTTAGGAATGCATCAGCTCTTTTTTTTTTCTTTAACAATCTACTGAATTGGTCAAAACTAATTCTTCAGGAAGTCTCTTTGTGAAGAAAACCTTCCGTATGTGGAGGATGAATCTCTTGTCCTTTGTAATGACCTTAAAAATGGACCACATATAAATGCAGGTAAACACTGTGTATGAATGGCACCACTGAAAAATTCAAGTTCAAGTTTAGGGGAAAATATAATAAATGCCCAGGTTTTTGGAGGGAAATAAAATGTGCATTTATTATTTGCAAAGCTTAACACCCACATTCAACAGATCGCAGGGGCAATGCCAGGCTCCTGCACACACTACCTCCAGCTTTCTGGAGGAAAAGTGAATGAACTACAAGGTCGCTCATCAGCATCCTCATAGTTCATTGAGAATTACAAGCCGTCTGCATTGGTGGCAGCCGGGACTTGTAGTTTTTTCATTCACAGGTCTCTGAATGAATGAATGACCCTGCACAGCCATGTCAATTTTAAAAAGTGACAGCGGGTACAGAGAGAAGAACCCTGGTCTGCTGTTCGAAGGAGGGTGAGAGGGGCAATGGTGCTTAACAATACCCTCTAAATGTGAATGTTCTGAAAGGTGCACTTAGCCTTCAAAAATGTCCTCAAAACGCAAATAAAAACGCAGGCTAATAAGTATTACCTTTTATTTCAGTTTATTGAGCTCCAATGCCACTTGCAAATTCTATGCCCAAAAAGCAGGCTGGAGAAAAGGACTGCTGCTCTCTCTATAGAAGCAGTGGCCTCACAGCCAGTCTACACACCCTACTATAGAGCTCTAGCTGATTGAACTGTGGGGCATACCAGACTACTGAAGGGACACAGCTGGTCCCTCACAGACAGCAGTGGTCTTTTTCTCCAGTCTGCTGCCCAGGCACAGAGTTTTCAACTAGAGCAAGAGCAAAATTAAAATTGATTAAAAAATATATTTAAACATCTCTCCTTTTATGCAGGCCCACTGACACCTAGCGATATTAAATGCACTTTATTTTTTTATTGATTTCAATGGGCTGCCCTACGCATGGCAAAGTAGATCATGGAGCTTTTTGCTGCGTTCCAGTGTGCACGGTTTTTACAGTGTGTTTGGCTGCGTTTGGGATGCCATTAACAATTAATGGCGCCACTAGTGTGGCAGACTGTTTTCTACAGACTTGCAAACATTTCTCTCTGCTCAGCGAAAGGATCATTCTTTGGAAAGGCAAACAATTGTTATATGTAGTAAATATTTTTCCATGATCTACCCCAAAGTATAAATTGCTTTCCTTAACACTAACCTATTATGACTAAAGATTCTCCATCCCGTCATTAGAGAAAATCAAGCCCTGCACAGTAAGCTTAATTAATTTAAAGTGGTTGTAAAGGCTAAAGTTTTATCTATGCATGAAGGTAAAACGCCTTCCTGAGCCCCATCGCGATCCAGCAATGTGAAGAACAGCCTCGGCTGTCCTGGGTCTCTATCAGCTCATTGGCTGAGACAGCAAGCAGGAGCCATTGGCTCCCACTGCAGTCCATCACAGCCAGTCAGCCAATGAGGAAAGAGGGGGTGGTACCAAGCCATAGCTCCATGTGTGAACTGACACATGGAGCAGCAGGTGCCCCTATAGCAAGCGGATTGCTGTGGGGGCATCCAGAGACAGGAGAACCATGAAAGCCTGCGTTAGACCCGAGAAGAGGAGGATCCAGGCTGTTCTGTACAAAACCACTACACACAGTAAGCAAGTATAGACATGTTTATTATTTAGAAAAAAAAAATTAAACTTTAGAATCATATTACAGCGGAAATTCAATGCACGCGAGCACCACAAAACCAAAAACGCTTTTCAATTCATTTTTGTTTTTCAAAGCAAACGCAGCCATCTATTCATGTCTCCATGCTTTATTTTGCTGAGAAAACACTTTGAACCCCCCCCCCCCCAAGCATTTCTGGCTGCAGCCATCTTAAATAAGGGAAGATGATTCAGGTATTATTTACTTCCCAGAATCCATCAGCCCTTAGCTCAGGCATACAGGCAGGAGGTTGTGCTTAGCTCAGCAAACCCTCCTTCCTTTCTGAAGACTCCTGCGATGTATGATATCATTTGCCTAAGCAAGGGAGTAACTGAAGAAATGAAAAAAAAATAAAAAAATAAAAAAAAAAAACGATTCAAACAAGTAAATATCATATACTTTTTATATATATAATATATATATATATATATATATATATATATATATATATATATATATATATATATATATATACATACATACATATACATACACACACACACACATATATATATATACACATACATATATATATATATATATATATATATATATATATATATATATACACACACACACACACACACACACACACACACACACACACACACACACACACACACACATATACTAATACTAGAAGCATAAGGATTACAAATAGTCAGTGTTGATTGAGAGGAGAGAGAGTGAAGTTCCACTTTAGGTGAGCAAAGCTGTTGGAAAAAAAAAGTTAATTTGCAAAAACTAAACCTATCTGATTGAAATTCAGCAGCTTAATCCTCAACAGTAAAACTGGATTTAAGTGCTTTGCTTCCCATTTAGAGGGACACGTCATCAAAGCTTTAAAATTTTATTGGGAATCCACTTACGAGGGATTTATTAGAATATTTAATAGACTAACATTTACTTTTAGTGTGCTGACAGATGGAGACCATGTTTTCTCCAGTGCTCCCCAGGTAGTGGTGTCATTGTTACCGCTGTGTCCTCTACCATGTACCTGTCACTGTACATTCTGTTCTCGCTCTTGACTAACAAATTGTGTTTCAATATGCTGCATTCCCCTCTGGCATTAAAGCAAGCCTAAACTCGGGGAACCTCATCCTTCAAGCCGTGTGAGACAAGCCAGTTGTGAATGATATACAAAGCACTTGCAGAAACCACAGAACAGTGTTTTCGGTTGAGCAGCTCCCACATCTCACAACCAGATGTCACCCTAAATATAATCCAGTAGTCAGAAGCTAAGGAGGGACATGCCTATCTGACTTGGGCTAGGCTCCTATGAAATTTGAGAACAGAGTGTGCCTAGGCACTGTCACACTTGCTGCTTCCAATAAGGTACAATTTTTAGTGATTTGCTTTGTCACATGAGACTGTGCTTATGAATCTCTGTTAGAATGCCAAACATTAGATTTTGAGTATAGGTCCATTTTAAAGCAGAACTAAACTGTATCTGAGCACCACAAACTGGTGCTTAATATCCATAGTAAACTCACCTATCCATGTCTCCCTTCTTTATTTTGTTGAGAAAACACTTTGACCTAACACCTCCCTTCCACCCCAAGATGCCATCTTGAGTAAGGACAGAAGATTCCTGTAGCATTTACTTCCTGGAATCCAACTGCCCTTAGCTTAAGCATGCAGGCAGGAGGGTGTTCTTAGCTGAGAAAACCCCTCCTCCAGATGAAAAAAAAAAAAAAAAAAAAAGACTCCTGGGATGTATGACATCATTTTGGCCTAGGCCAGAAACCAACTGAAGAAATGAAATAGAAAAAAAAAAAAAAAAACAGAACTAGTTGGTTTCTAGAGGAGTTTTTTTTAACTCTAAATGCAGTAAACCAGCGTTTTTGGACTTTTTTTACCCAAAAAAAACCCTCTAAAAAACTGCAAACGCGAAAAAACGCCACTAAATGCTAATACAAAAATGCAAAAAAACTCATGTTTTTAACATGACTTTACACAGCTAACGTTATCAGCATTATTAAAACGCCCCGTGTGCATGGAGCCTTAAAGTGATTGTAAACCTTGATTTTATTTTTATTTTTCAAAAATAACAAACATGTTATACTTACCTGCTCTGTATATTGCACAGAGCAGCGGGTCGGCTCTTCCTCTTCAGGTTGCACCGTCGGCACTCCTGGCTCCTCCTCTTCTTGGTGTGCCACCATAGGATGTTGCTTCTGCTTCCTATGGTGGCAGATCTGCGTGTTTGATCCCAAAGCCTCCTCTGTGTGTCTATCCGCTTCCCGACTGCCCTATAGCAGAAGTACTGCAACAGGGCGGCAGGGCTGCGGAAAATCACGTATACATTTGTATTTTTGGGTAGGGGGCACATGCTTGTGCTGCCCCACCCGTGCCGCCATTGGCGGCTAAACCTGCTGATCACAGGGTCCCGGCTGGAGATTCCCCCGTCAGCAGGATCTCTCCTCTGTCAACACCAGCATGCTGCTTTGTATTGCTCTGCATATCTTACATAGTAAAACACACAGCACATAATGTGAAACATACAAAGCACACAGTTAACCCTTTGATCACTCCAGTTTTTAACCCCTTCCTGTCCATTGTCATTAGTACAGTGTCAGTGCTTTTTATTAGCACTGATCACTGTATGAGTGTCACCGGGGAGTGTGACATCCCCCCCAGTGTCAGAATGCCTGCCGCAGTCCCGCTATAAGTAGCTGATCGCCGCCAATACTAGTAGAAAAAAATTTTAAAAATTCCAGTATATATTCCGCCATTTGTAGGCGCTATAACTTTCACATAAACCAATTAATTTACACGTACTGGGATTTTTTTGAGCAAAGACATGTTGCAGAATACATTTTGGCCTAAATTTATGAGGAAATTTGATTTTTTTTAAAATTTTTTTACTGGATATGTTTTGTAACAAAAAGTAAAAAATATTTTTTTTTTCAGAATTGTCGGTCTTTGTTTATAGCGCAAACAATAAAAACCGCAGAGGTGATCAAATACCACCAAAAGAAACCTTCATTTGTGGGGAAAAAAAAAAGAAATAAATTAAATTTAGGTGCAACGTTCCATTTCCGCGCAATTGTCAGTTAAAGTAACACAGTACCGTATCGCAAAAAAATTACCTGGTCAGGAAGGGGGGTAAATCCTCAGGAGGGCAAGTGGCTATAAGACACAGAGAGTGGCTCGTCCCCTCATTCCACTCCCTCATCACTGGCTGCGACTGGAAGCAGTGGGAGCCGTTGGCTCCCACTGCTGTGTCTGAGCCAACAAGGAGGGAGAGAACAGAGAACAGAGAGCTTCTCTGTGTACATTGCTGGATCAAGATCGGACTGAGGTAAGTATAAGTTGGGGCTGGAAGGGGAGACGCATGCAGAACGTTTTTACTTTCATGCATATAATGCACAAAGGTAAAAAAAAATCTTTCTGCCTTTACAACCACTTTAAGTTGGTCAGTTTTCAGTAGATGCAGGAGAGTCTTGCAGGTTTTTGGTCTTGTGAAAACTGTAAGAGCAAAATTGACATGGATGAAGCATTTTCTAGTCTTCACATCTGCAATTGCCTTTATGGGAGAAAACAACTCTCCTCCCTGGATTTTGAAGTGTACCTGATCTTAAAAGCAGTACAGGGAGAAATGCACATGCTGCCAAGTCTGAAATTTTAACTGCCTGGTCACCTCTGATGAGCGGTAACTTCAATCTTCATTCTCTTGCAGAGCCTTGGCTACCATTGGTATCTCGGACCTCCGTGTGTTTTGCATGCCGTACTCTCCCGCTGCATGCTGTGTATCCACCCACCTGTTGCTACATAAATACAGGGCACATCAGTGATGCAGCAACTGGCAGGCAAAGGCCTGGTCACACAGTGGTGCTATCTGTCACACCTGGAGGGGTTGGATACCAATGGCGGCTGCAGCTCTGCAAGAGAAAAAAAAATATTGCAGTCATCACCTCCAGAGAGGTAAGAATTCTTAAACTTCTTTGCTTTTGGTTTTATTTATTTGTTGATTGGACAGGTGGAGCTCTAGGGTCGGCTGAAATCAAGTTTTCTGTACTTCTTTACCCCTATGCTGTTAAAGTAGAACTTCACTCTGTCAATCAACATGGACTATTTTTAATCTTTATGCTGCTAGCATTAGTAAACAGATAGTAAAGTATATAATATTTACTTGTTTTAAGCTTTTTTTTTTACATTGCTTCAGTTACTTCCTGGTTTCCATGCCTAGGCAAATGACATCATGCATCCCAGGAGACTTCAGGGTTTTCTGAGCTAAGAACACCCTATTATCTTCATGCCTGAGCTAAGGGCAGATGGATTCCAGAAAGTAACTGTGACATGAATCATCTGCCCTTAAGATGGCCACGGCCAGAAATGCTAGAGGGTGTTTTTCAACGTAATTTCTCAGCAAAATAAAGCATAGAGACATGGATGGATGGGGGAGTTTGCTCTGAATAATAAAAATGAATTAAATAGTGTTTTTGATTTGTGGTGCTCAGATGCAGTGTAGTTCTGCTTTATGAATGTATAATTTGACCTCCTGCTGTTAAACTCTGTTCAGCTTCTTATGGAGTACCAATAAGAACGGGAGACCAGAAGTGTCATGTAAGAACCCTCCAGTAAATATTTCCAAAATGATAAAAAAGTTTTCACAAGTGATGAAAAAAAGTGGCTTTAAAATATCTGCTCATTACTTTGTGAACATTCAAAATATTTCAACAAAACTGACTAGAAACCAGTCTAGTTCCTCTAAAGCCTCTTGGACTCTGTGCATGCCAAATAAATAATTTCTTACTTGGGATGTGCCAGCAGCTGATACAAGGCATGTTTATTATCATCCAAACTCATCATTGCCACCAGGAAACATTTGATCACCTCCCAAGCCTGTCTTCGATAGTAAGGCTCAGTGTTTGCACTCTTCAAACAATCCAAGGCTGTCTCGATGGCCTAAAGAGAGCAAACCATAATTAAATCAGAGTAAAAAACACGCACACAGTACACAGCCAAAGTCTCCTGGGAAATCTGTTTGTTTAAAGAACAGAACTTTGCCAAACTTTCCACATAAAACTTTCATTACCTCCAAAGTTTGCTCTGTAAAGTGCAGACCTACCTTTTTTACAAGTGCGATACAGAAAAGCAAGTCGCATCAGTTCTTACAACAGAATCCTGTTTCTGACTTCTCTGTGTGGTACACAGAGAATTGGGAAGTCCTGCATCTCCACGGGGAGCGCCACTTTTAGGAAAGTCTGGTAAGAGTGGTTGGAGTTGGAGCTGGTCTTTAAGACTTATATTTTTGGTGCTGAAACATTATTTGGTGTTATTTTTGCATGAACTGTTAAATTTTTAGGTATAAACTCACTGAAAATCTTCTGAACAAGATTCTAAAGCATACATTTAATTCAATAATATAATCAAACCAAAAACACTGAAATTTGAAATATAGCGCCAAGTTCGCAACCAGTGTCTGATGACGAATTTCCCCACTAATCATTATCACTCAATTCTGCAAGTGGTTCTGATTTACTATCGCTGTTCTCTGCTTCTGACCAATGCATGTGCTAATATGACAGGATCTCCACTGCTTCAGAGTCTGAAAGTCTGAACATGCACTTATAATGGTAATCAAAAAGAGATCTTGTATCTCAGTTGTAAAGCCACAAGAGCAGATTTCACCAGGAGGTGTTGCTGCAAGAAAGCTCATGGCTCTAGTCAAAGCCTAGAAAATGTGGGACATGGACTACATTACAGTGATGGATTATTATACAGGATTTATAGAGCACCAACAGTTTACACGGTGCTTTACAACATAAGGGCAGACAATACAATTACAATGCAAATTAATACAGGAGGATTCAGAGGGCCTTGCTTCTTAGAGCTTACAATCTAAGAAGGAGGGTCGAGAGATACAAACATTAATACTGTGGGGGATGGGCTGATGGACAAAATACAAGTACAGTTGTTGTTGGGCAGGATATCCCTCTCTGAAGAGATGATGATTAGAAACAGATAGGGGAACAGCAATTAGAGAAGAACTCCACTAAGACCCCTCTACAGACATTACAAACCGTGATATTAGCGGAAATAAAACGAAAAAAAAAAAAAAGCACACTAAACTGTATACTGATTATAAGGCCAGAGTCTTAAGGTTATGCATATGTGAAAAACTTAAGGGCCTATGTGTGGCCAATCCTCTTCATTGACATGTGATAGCTGTCAGAATAAGGCAGGCAAAGCATGGCTTCCACTAACTCCAAATGACTTCTTGATATGTGACTGTTATACTATGTACTTGTATGAAAAAGTATCCTCTTCTCTTTGTATTGTTTCTTGTGTGTGAAATCCCTGTTGTTTCTGCCAGTCCCTCTGCATTCCTATTAAAAACTGACCACACTAGTGAGGAGAACACACCGTGGTCAGTTCTCTAGCAATGCTGGGAACTCAGCCTGCTCTGCTCCAATGATAAGATTTGTCCTGACACACCCCCCCTGTACAGCCATTCACTGGCAGATCAGTGTACTGCTATTGCTCCTCCCCCAGCTCTTATGCGGAAGAGATCAGAGGGTATGTGATCATTTCTGAAATAAGGGGGGAAAAGGTTGTTTGGTTTTTTACAAATATCTAAACACAAATGTTTTGCCATTCATTTCTATTTTAAACTGAAAGGTTTGTTTTACAAGGTGAGGGTTTACATTCACTTTAATCTGAGTGGGTTCAGGCAACACATAATTCTGGTAACTTTTGCACTTACTGTAAAAGTCCATTTCTTGGAATCTATTGGGGGACATCGGAATTTTTAAAAGGTTATGCAGTCGCCTATTGGAGGATTGGACCCTAGCCACCAGAAAGATCCTAAGCCTGAGCCAAATATAACCTCTCATCTACTCAGCATGGCCCAGTTCGGTAGTAAAGCCATATATCACAGACATGAACAAGAACACAAAGGATCAAAATCTGTGCTACTCGATGGACTCAGATTTTATGGTAAGTAGAAAACAGACTTTTTATTTTAGCTCACAATTCTACTTAAAACCACTTTAATTCAGTTCCCTTTTCTCAGCTATACCTATAAGGGGGTGAGCTCCCCTTAAAAAAAAAAAAAATTGGAAACTCTGCATTTTCACTACACTACAAATGGGGCTGAACTAAATCCAATTGAGGACCGTCAAGACATTTAAAATGTTCACTGCATGAATTTCATACCTGATTAAATCATAATTAATGTGAACTAAAACTGACCTTTAAAGTTCACAACAAAACAAAATATCACTGTGTGCCTCTGGGGTAGTATCATATGAAGCCTTTTAAACAGTTTAGAGAGAATTAAACCCTTGCGTCACAACAGAATTCAAGATTGTACTGTCATTTCCAATTTAAAGGGAATCATCAACTAATGGAAAATGGATATCAGAATAGCAGTGCTGTCACCCAGAGGTTCAATCATCTCCTCTATAGTGACAGAACGAGAAAACACTCAGCCTTGAACACTTCATGTTCATAGGTTCAGAGCACCAATACTAGGCAAGACGCACTGTCTGCCCTGATACAAATCTGCAGAGCAAAAGAGGCATTAAGGGTTTAAAGACCATTGATGTTATCATAAAGAGAACCTGTCCTAATCTTTGTGTATGGTCACAGAGGTGGCATGTATGTGTGAAACTCCAATGAAATGTCTACCAATCTACTGTGATTATGTGTCATCTCACTCTCCCCACTGCATTCTCCATTTATTCGACAATATACAAAAAATTCAGCAAAAGCAGTCTCTCGTAGGTGGCTTTACAACGATTTTACTTATGTTATAGAGACAAGAAAAGGCTCTGCAGTCCAGCAGGGGCGAGGACAGCTGGACAAACGTGCTTAGGATTTTAGTTCAGCAAAGGCAAATAGTGTGTTAGGAGCTCAATGGATTTCTTGAAAGATCAACAGGTACTGTTCAGTACATGCAGTGTTTTCAAAGAGACAAAACATTGCGAAACATGCATGCATAGCATAAAAAAACAAAAACAAAACAAAAAAAAAAAACAACTTTGCCTACAGGGTCTCTGTATGTGTCCTTTCACAACTGTTACAGAAGGGTCAATTACAGGATTCAAGGGGATAGACACCGATTTTTATGGCTCTTTGTGCACTGAGAAACTACTGCTTATGTTGGCGTCAAAAGAATTTAATAAAAATAAATGTAACCAGTTCTTTTTTAACAAAGGCTCAAGGAAAACTATAGGTCATTGATAGAAAATACAATCACACACAATCGATTGCTGTTACAAAGTATGAAAGATTACCTTTTCCATTGGAAGCTGAATGGAAGCCTTACAGTCTGCAAACTCAGTTGTAATACTGGGTCCTTGTATCTCAGTGACCACATATTGCAGCTTCTGCGATTCTTTTAACATTTTGCGATTGCTGCCACCAAATTTTCCCAGGACTCTGTACGCCACATGAGAAATGCTGTCTGCAGGATTACGAAGTGTCCTCCACAAGGCCTAGAATAAGCGGAAATAAATTTCCTTATACACAACGACCATATCAATATATTACCAGCAGGCAGTACTACTTAAACTGATATTTTACAAAAAGGTTAAAGCAGAACTCCAGTTACAATTTTTTATTACCATGCAGTGGGGCTGTGCCCCCACTGCATGGTAAAAAAAGGGAAGGAAGGGGGCAGGAGCCCGAAAGGACAGGTATTGTGCGGGAAGGATCGGCAGGTCAAGCGAATATATCTTTGGTGTCCTCTCTTCTAGAACAAAATGAGCTTTTAAGCCGTGCAGTGCCGGCACAGCCCCACTGAATGGCAAAGAAAAATGTTCACGGATTTCTGCTTTAAAGTAGAAATCCAGTTTTAGCCTTAAAACTGCCCCTTGCCAGCACCCCTCCTCCCCTAACATCTATGATTACTAACCTATGTAAGAAAGCTGTACAGGGGTTGGGGCAAAATTATGGAAACGCTAGATAAAAGAGCAAAATCGTTACCCAATATGGTGTTGAACCACCACTGGCATTCAAGACGGCCTGAATTCTCATAGGAATTGAAAAATATAAGTCTTGGATAGTAGATAATGGAATCTGATAGCACTTTTCATGGAAAAATAATTCCAGTTCTCGTAGAGATGCTGGAGGTGGAAAACAAACCCGAACCCTGTTCTTCAAAATAGACCATAGTGGCTCTATGATATTGAGGCCTGACGACTGAGGCACCCAGGGAATGTGTAAGACTTCGTCTGCATGCTTATCAAACCATGATTTGACATCATCAGCTGTGTGAATCGGAGCATTATCATCTTGATGAATAGCGCTGTCTTCGGGAAACCATGTCTGCACCACTGAATGCACATGGTAGGCCAACATTTGTACATAGTGTGACGGGAGTGACTTTTGGGGGTGGGGGGACCCCTGTTATTCCTCTTATGTGTAACCCACCCTGTGCCTGTTAGGGGTACAGGGTGGTCAGTCCTGATATGGTGTAGACATGTATAGGTGGGGTGGGGGGTTGTCCATTGTTCACTGCCATGTGGTTGTTCCATTGTTCTCTCTGCCATGCTGCTGCGTCCCATTGTTCTAGCAAACTATTATGGGATGTAATGTTTGTGTATTGGTGTGGGGGGTTGGTCATTGTTCACTGCCATGTGCTGCATCCCATTGTTCTGTGTCTTGGTTTGGTGAGGGGTGTTTCCAGCAGCCCTTCCCCCTGATGGGAGGGCCTGCTGATGTGTTTCCTGTTCCTGGTTGTGTTTCCCCGCCCTGTGTATATATCTTGTGTTTGTGTTAAAATAAAGCAGTTGACTTCCTGTCTTCAGAAGAGTCTGGTGCTGTCTATTTCCTGCATGATCAGCGGTGGTGTCCGGGGATCTGTGTTCGGACAGGGAATCAGGAGTCTAACGGATATACCCAAGTGCAGTCTGGGTCCGGTTCCAATACACAGTCACTGGCATTGACTACCATTCAAGGTGATAATGGGGCCTGCAGAATACCAAGACATGGCTGCCAAAACCATGATTGTACTGCCAGCATGCCTTACTGTTGGCACAGGATAGCTCTGGTCATAAGCTTGGGACAGTGTTCGCCACAAGTAAACATGTCCGGTTGTTGGGAACAGTGTGAAGCTCAATTCATCGGACAATATTACAGGCTTCTATTGATCAACAGTCCTCAATTTATGGGTGTTGCACCACTCTCTCCTTTTCTACACATTAATATCGATCGCTGGTGGTTTGGCAATTGCAGCTCGCCCTTGAATGTTTTTCCCTCCGAACAGTTATTGTGGACACGGCTTTGGAAGACTGAAATTGAGCTCTGCAGTAACTTTTGCAGCAGTTGTTTTCTTATTGTGGGTCACAGTCCGGCGCAATGTCCTTTTGTCTCTTTCGGTCAGTTGACCATGTAGACCGCACTTATGCTTATTAAGCAACTTTTTCCCGGAAACTGTATGCCTTCATAACCTTTGACACTGTACCTCATGGCACGGCAAATAAATTAGTAACTTCACTCACAGAGGCACCAGCTAAGCGGACACCAACAATGTGCCCTTTGTGAAGCTCAGTAAGGTTTGACACGACTCTGTTTTACTAGCAGTGCCAGTAGTGAATGATGGAAGTGAGGATTCCCACCTGTTAGCTAGGTGTCTCATCACACAACAGAAGCAAAAGAATGTTACATCACTTCCATTTTCAACGCAAAACATGTCAACACTTTTCCACTTGCAAATCATGTAGTGTTTCCATATTTTTATCCAATGGATGGGCCACTAAAGCCTATGGGTGATGTCACCGCTCCAGGCTTTACTAGCCATTATCGGAGAGCTCCCTCCTCTCCCTTGCAGCCACTGCTGGCTGACACAGGGGAATTCATGAGACCAAACCAGAGTGGTCTGAAAATAAGTATATACATCTTTCTCACACAGGTTAATTAGCATAGGTGTTAGGAGGCGGGAGGGGACAGTTTTAGGGCTAGTTAAGGGGTAGCTGGAACTCTACTTTAAATTGTAACTAACCTTCTCAAGCAAATTAAGCAACCACTGTCATCTCGTTGAGTGTTTTGCATATTTCAGTGCCTTAAAGTGATTGTAAATCCTTACATATACTCAGTGACTGGCCACAGGTAATACACAGAAATAAAACAAATCCTCCTACATACAGTAGGGATCGAAAGTTTGGGCACCCCAGCTAAAAATTTGTATTAATGTGCATAAAGAAGCCAAGGAAAGATGGAAAAATCTCCAAAAGGCATCAAATTACAGATTAGACATTCTTATAATATGTCAACAAAAGTTAGATTTTATTTCCATCACTTACACTTTCAAAATAACAGAAAACAAAAAAATGGCGTCTGCAAAAGTTTGGGCACCCTGCAGAATTTATAGCATGCACTGCCCCCTTTGCCAAGCTGAGACCTACCAGTGTCATGGATTGTTCTCAATCATCATCTGGGAAGACCAGGTGATGTCAATCTCAAAGGTTTTAAATGCCCAGACTCATCTGACCTTGCCCCAACAATCAGCACCATGGGTTCTTCTAAGCAGTTGTCTAGAAAACTGAAAACTGAAAATAGTTGACGCTCACAAAGCTGGAGAAGGCTATAAGAAGATAGCAAAGTGTTTTCAGATGTCAATATCCTCTGTTCGGAATGTAATTAAGAAATGGCAGTCATCAGGAACAGTGGAAGTTAAAGCAAGATCTGGAAGACCAAGAAAAATATCAGACAGAACAGCTCGCAGGATTGTGAGAAAAACAATTCAAAACCCACGTTTGACTGCACGATCCCTCCACAAAGATCTGGCAGACACTGGAGTTGTGGTACACTATTCCACTATAAAGAGAGACTTGTACAAATATGGTCTTCATGGAAGAGTCATCAGAAGAAAACCTCTTCTACGTCCTCACCACAAAAATCATCGTTTGAACTTTGCAAATGAACATATAGACAAGCCTGATGCATTTTGGAAACAAGTTCTGTGGACCGATGAGGTTAAAATTGAACTTTTTGGCCGGAATGAGCAAAGGTACGTTTGGAGAAGAAGGGGCACAGAATTTAATGAAAAGAACCTCTGTCCAACTGTTAAGCATGGGGTTGGATCAACCATGCTTTGGGGTTGTGTTGCAGCCAGTGGCACAGGGAACATCTCACGAGTAGAAGGAAAAATGGATTCAATAAAATTTCAGCAAATTTTGGATGGTAACTTGATGCCATCTGTGAAAAAGCTGAAGTTAAAGAGAGGATGGCTTCTAAAAATGGATAATGATCCTAAACACACCTCAAAATCCACGGGGGATTACATTAAGAGGCGTAAACTGAAGGTTTTGCCATGGCCTTCACAATCTCCTGACCTCAACATAATTGAAAATCTATGGATAGACCTTAAAAGAGCAGTGCGTGACAGACAGCCCAGAAATCTCAAAGAACTGGAAGACTTTTGTAAGGAAGAATGGGCAAAGATACCTCAAACAAGAATTAAAAGACTCTTGGCTGGCTACAAAAAGCGTTTACAAGCTGTGATACTTGCCAAAGGGGGCAGTACAAGATATTAACTCTGCAGGGTGCCCAAACTTTTGCAGACGACATTTTTTTGTTTTCTGTTATTTTGAAAGTGTAAATGATGGAAATAAAATCTAACTTTTGTTGACATATTATAAGAATGTCTAATCTGTAATTTGATGCCTTTTGGAGATTTTTCCATCTTTCCTTGGCTTCTTTATGCACATTAATACAAATCTTTAGCTGGGGTGCCCAAACTTTCGATCCCCACTGTAAGTTGTACATGTTTATCTGCAGCATTCTCTTGTCTAGAGTCAAAGAATTTATAATGCTTTTCTGAGAGTTAAGAAAAATGATGGCGGAGAGCTGAAGTTCTACTCTGCAGAGCTCAGTTAGGAGAGCTCTGAGAGCTGATTGGAGGGGAGGGGAGGGGAGGGATTCCCCCCCCCTTCCACACAGCTCACAGGAACAGAGCCGAGGCTGTCATTCTTTTTTCGCTTGGCGTCAGGAAAACATGTCAGATGTGTTTCATGCTGTCAGCACAGGTAGAAAGCAGCAGGCAGAAATGACACTTAGTGCTATTAATTGAGACAAGTACACACTATAGGGGGATATGCTTTGCTCATATTTCATGTCTATGGTTTACAACCACTTTAACTGTACTAAAGCACCACACTTAGACATGCTAGTTTGCTGACACATATACCCTCTTGCTTCAATTCACTGTCAACTTTACCTGGAACAAGTATGCAAGTATGTTTGACTTTACAGATCCACATACTTGTTCCAGGGTCAGTGGTTCAAACCTTTCTAAAGCCAGCTGGATATATCACTAGTCAGGCAAATAGCAGCTTCAGGACAGGATTGTCAAGCACCTTTTGGTGTGTAGTTGTAAAACAAAGATTTTCAAAAACTGGTAAGAAACCAATATAAAACTATGTAAACTAAAAAGAATTGCAATTTCCCTTTAACAGGCTTTTACAACAAGCTCTCCTGCCTTTTAATAATTTAGCATTTATGAGCCCCTCTTTGATTCTAGGAGCCCTAGGAAACAACCACATAGGGAAGTATAATGCGCTAGATGAGCACCTGCAGTCTCTGACTGTCAGAACATCATAATAATTGTAAGAGGGATGGATATCACAAGAACCACAGATTTTTTTTTCTTCCATTAAGAGTTCATTTTTTTTTAAATATTACATTTTCATCTTAGATATAATCTGTTTATTAAGTTTAAAATTCATTGGGTGATCCATTAACAGGAAATGTCTCAGTGTTTTCTATAATACTCTGCATTCTGTTCTGATGAAGAAACAAATGCACACAAAATACCATTTAAGTCCCCCTAGACGCAAGACTGAAATGTCTCCTCTACTGGGAATACAAACCAATTTCTCTTTACTAAACCCCTGCTTTTCACGAATCAATACTGCCCCCTGCTGATCGCACTCCACATTACCTGCATAAGCTCAGCACGGACAGGCTGAATGTGATCATACAGAAAGTCAGGCTGCAGGTTGTCCACACACAACTCCAGAGTCCTTAGACCTTGGCTGACAAGCGTCTGAGAGCCATTCAGAGCAGAGACTAACGGATCCATCAACATAGGAAGATATGGCAATAGAGAGCTCAGACGAACAGGCACAGTGAGACACAGCTCCACAAACAGATCCTTCATGTGCTGTTTATGTAGGCCACTTTGTAACATGTTCAAACCTGAAAAACAAATATTGTTACAGGAAAGGGCTTTATGGAAGCAATGCAACAAGGAATAGCAGGACATTTGTAATTTCTGTATTGGGATCAGAGATATAACTTGCATATGCTCAGGGCTGTCATCGAAGTGGGCCCTTTACAGTTTGCCGACAGAAACCCCCCTAAAGCCCGGGAAAGCAGAAGAGAGGTTTAGACTGACGCTTTGCTGTTCTCTTGCACTTTGTTGAAATTGTATTGCAGTAGCGAAGCCCACAGGCAACCTCTGCTGGGCCTTGGCCCTCCTGGTTATCCGCTGGGGACCAAGCCGGATACAGGAGTGCTGCCTGTATCCCTCTATTCAGTGCTACAGTGCCTTGAAAAAGTATTCTTAACCCTTGAAATCTTCCACATTTTGTCATATTACAACCAAAAACGTAAATGTATTTTATAACCTTTTAAAGCCTGCAAAAGACTTGAGACTAGGGTGGAGGTTCACCTTCCAGCACCACAACGACCCTAAACATACAGCCAGAGCTACAATGGAATGGTTTAGATCAAAGCATATTCATGTGTTAGAATGGCCCAGTCAAAGTCCAGACTTAAATCCACTTGAGAATCTGTGGCAAGACTTGAAAATTGCTGTTCACAGACACTCTCCATCCAATCTGACATAGCTTGATCTATTTTCCCAAGAAGAATGGGCAAAATTTCACTCTCTAGGTGTGCAAAGCTGGTAGAGACATCCCCAAACAGACTTGCAGCTGTAATTGCAGTGAAAGGTGGTTCTACAGAGTATTAACTCAGGGGGGCTGAATACAAATGCATGACAGACTTTTCAGATATTTGTAAAAAAAAAAAAAAAAAAAAAGTAAAAACTATTTATCATTTTCCTGCCACTTTGTGTTGGTCTATCACAAAAAATCCAAATTAAATACATTTATATTTTTGGTTGTAACATGACAAAACGTGGAAAATTTCAAGGGGTATGAATACTTTTTCGAGGCACTGTATATCCTAGCTATTGTACTGATGTGGGAAATGTCAAAGCTACCCCAGGCCCGATACAGGACAGCTGCATATAGCCCCTATCAGCGGCCCTATGCACGCTGAGAAATGACCATAAAAGCTATACAATCCTTGTTACATTTGAAGAACATACCGACCCTGGATAGTCCATAAAGGAAGGGAATACTCAAATTTTTCTGCATTAAATTTATCATAGTGCAACAAACAAGACATAGAAGTCATTACAACCGTTTGTACTTTGACTTACCTTGCAGCAGGTTAGGTAGCAAAGGCAGAAACTCCTGGTACAGGAGATCATGGCTGCCTCCTCCTATAGATCTGAAGAGCGCTCGGAGCAGCAAAAAATAGTTATATGGTTCCTTGGCAGTCTGAGCCAGCTCCATTGAACTGTTCACAATTTTGTGCAAATGTGGCTACAAAAGAAATGAAGAAATGAAGACTGAGTTGGAGGGCAACAAGTTTTATTATTAAACATATTTTAACCGCTTCCCGACCACCCTATAGCAAAATACAAGGTGGCATGGGTGTGCAAAATCACATATATAAACACGTGATTTTGCATATCCAGGTAGGGGGCACGTTTACTGGATATGTGTAAAATAGCAAAACGTCAAAAATATTGTTTTTTTTTCCTCAAAATTGTCGGTCTTTTTATTTTATAGCGCAAAAAATAAAAACCACACAGGCGATCAAATACTACTGAAAGAAAACTCAATTCGTGGGGAAAAAACAGGGTGTAAATTTCATCTGGGTGCAGCGTTGCATGACCACGCAATGGTAAATTAAAGTAACGCAGCACCGTAATGCAAAAAATGACCTGGTCAGGAAGGGGGGGTAAATCCTCAGGAGGGCAAGTGGTTAAATAAAGTATGGTGCATTTATGCAGATCCCTGTACACCAACAAAGGGAAAACCTTCTGCATAAGCTGTTAAAATAGGTAGTATGTACCTTTTTTTCAGTTCATCTAGTCATTGACAATATAAATTGAGCTTCTATAGAGCAATTCCAAGCAAAATGTTATTAGTCAGTTGCCAATAAAATCCTGCAAACACTACTACCATGTTAAAGGAAAAAAGGAAACTTTTTTTCTTTTAGCTGGGGGGAAAGTGACAGCTGATTCTCTGAGCTATAGTGAAGAAAAAAAAAAAAAAGCTGGTGATTACATTTAAAAACTGTCACTTGCCTATAGTGACAGCTACTTTTTGTTTTACTTTTTTCTGACCTCCGGAATGGATTAATTGGTTTTTAATGCATTCCTATGGGAAACTGCGTTTCGGTTTACAAATTTTTCACAATACGAAACGTCCCGGAGAATGCATTTAATTTGTAAACCTAGGTACACCTGTACTTCAATAGACAAATGGAAAAAAGAAGGTGGAAAGAGTTCCTCACTCTTGGTATACTCCTCTCAGATTGCAGGTAATCCAGGTTTAAACGTTATTTGAAGTCAACCGATGACCAAAAATTACAGAAATACAAAAAGCTTTGGATCAAATCGGGCAATTAAAAAATAAAAAAAAAAAATAATATATAAACATATATGGACTGGATGTCTTTATTTTCAAATTTGCCAGGAGTTTCTTATCAATAAAAGACTCAGTGGAATGGATGACAATTTCTCATCTCACCTTAAGCATTTGCTCGTTATCTGCAGCAAAGAGGGAAACTGAGCCAAACACTAGCTTGAACAGCTTGAGATACAAATTGGACAGCTCAACGTTGGATCCCATCTCCGGAAGTCTTTCCAGCAAATACTCCACCAGGATGGTAGCAAACAGGGCCGACGTGGTGGGGTTCGCCAAAAAGGAATTGGCAACAATCTAGAAAAACAAGTCGCTCAATCAAATTAAACATCAGTTAACATAGAAAAAGGTCCCTGGTGCCCAGTGATGGCCACCGTTAAATCTGTGTAAATATCTGACAGGATCAAAACGGAGTCAATACCAGAGATTTCATTCAGAATGCAACCTGCTTATGTTTAGACGAATTTCACTTTTAATGGACAACCACTTCTGGTGAGGAAAATTCAATCAAGGAGAGAACTGAGCATTAACCTGTGCAAGTTTATGTGCATAGCAGGACTTTGTATAACCTTCGGCCCTGCAATTGTAATGATACAAGTTGAACTACATGTAAAAGGGTCAACTAGGTTCTCAACTTTCAACAACTGGCAACTGGTCACATTTTCCAGACTTTAATGGAAAAGAACATATTTTGAGTTATTTTTTCCTGTATGTCTTAACCAGTTCCCCTCTAAAGCACTTCAGCTTTGCACATGTTAAAATCTACATTTTGGCTGTAAAATTGCTTAAAACCCCCAAAACATACATATACTTTCTAAACACAAAGGCCCCGTTGAATATGGTTTTTTTTGCCTTCCTCTGGACCAATTATGGATATATAATTCTTTATGTGGAGGTTTTCTATTTATTCAATTTATTTTTTCTATTTTTATTTTTTTTCTGTTGGTTGAACTAGATGGGCTTGCGATTTTTTTAATCTATGTAGCTATGAATAAAAAGACGGTAGTTGCATTTTTGTATGTCGCACAAAAGTGGTGCAACTGTTTATCAAATCTATATTTTCAGAAAAATACACTAAAATTACACAATTTAATCCCCAGTTTGTTGTACAAAATAAAAGATTGGGTAGTTTAGAGTAAATAGATACCAAATGCAACAAGCCTCAAAACTGCATGCTCCTACAAAATGGAAAAAAAAAATTACGGTATCCAAAATTATCAAAAGGTGGTGGTTCAAATGTCTTTACTGCTCATCAGTTTAGAGCAGGATTTCTCAACCAGGTTCCATAGAACCCGTGGGTTTCTCCAGAGGTTGAGAGAGCTTGCATGAACAAGGAGTAATTTCTGTGTCTCAGACAAGTTCCCACTGACACTACTGATCTTTTTAGCTATCTGTAAAGGTGTAATTCTTCCAAATGACCACAAGTGTAAGGCGCATTCTTCCCACTAACCATCACACTAATGTATCATGAGTGGTAGATATAGTCATTTTTAGCAGGGGTTCCCTGACACCAGAATTTTTTCAAGGTTTCCTGCATTTTAAAGGTTGAGAAAGGATGTTTTAGAGTAAACCATAAATGATGGACCTAGAATTATTGGTCTAATTTCAACATTCATGGTGATAACCAACATGTGCAACTGTCATTTACATACAATCATGCTCCGGTCCATTCATGTGATAGAGCTCTGGCTCCCCTGTGTCATAACGTGGCTGCTGCAGAGAAGAGCAGGGGGCAATGACAATGAATGGAATAATGGAAAATAATAAGTGACAGGTGATGGGTGACCTCACAGCTCCTAGAATTCAGCCTTGTTGTCAAGCGCTTTTCATGACATAGAGCTGGAGTTTTTGCATCAAGTGTCTGGACCACAGCAGATTAAAAAAAGGTATTTACACAGATCTTTTTTTATTGGATATATAGAGCATAGGCTTAGAATAGCTTGAGTACTCCGGAAAACAATGACACTCAAATGTGAAGCAGGATTTAAAGCCTTTTTTTTTTTACAGCATTCACATGCTTTCCTTTTTTTCCAAATGAGTAGAATACTTTCAATCTAACTGATAATGAATACATTTTAAAAAGCGAACATTCCCAGTCTGAGCTGAAAAGCATCAACTTCTGCAGCTGTGACTAATCATTGAAGCGCATTTACAAAGTACTCAAACTTACAGTTGAATTCTTTTTATTAGAAATAGTAGATTTTACTCTAGCTCAGTCAACAATCAACAATAAATTCTAGTCTGGTCACACACCTGGAGAGCATAGTTTTTAGAAATCCTCTCCACCATGTATGGAACTGTAGTTTGAAAGATTTCTTTAAAGGTCAGGGGGTTCATCATAGTGAAGACACCAGCAAAATGCTCCAGGACCTCCTTCTCCTCTTTCATGCGTACAGTTTGACAGTTGGCCACTCTGATGTAAGTCTGCCCATTCCCAGCTATCTGGACCTAAAACATAAAAATAAAATTTTTTATTGCTTGACATGTTCACAGCATAATACCTGAATGAAGAATGAGGCATCAGGCAATTAAATATTATAAGCGGGAGTCTTAGATCTGATTACAGAGACAATAAAAGAATTCTGGAATGAAAGACAGTTAGCAAAGAGATAAGCTAGAAAACAGCTTGTACAAAAAAGAACTCAGTTATCTCTAAAAACTGCTTCTAGTATGTTAGAGAAAACCCTCTACATCACAGAGAAATGTACTTAAACACAATTATAACAACAGTCCTCAACAGAAAACGAACAAATATGTCTTAACACAAGCTCAATTATTTTTTTTGATACGGATTAAGTAAATTGTCCCTTTCCCAAAAGTAATCCTAAAGCTGAACTCCAGTCAGATAGCTAAATACATAGATAACATAGATATGAGAGCCATTTTACCTGTCAAAACTTTATTTCTGTCCACCCAATCCCAAAATTTACACAATTTTGTCAATCAGCAAGAGAGAAAAAGAGCGAGAGGAAGAGATTGAGATTCTGTGCCATCGGTGTGAACTGTATTGTAAGTTTTATTTTTCAAATTAAACACTGTATACACATAGTAAAAAAGCAAGCTATAAAACATTTTAAAACAACTTTCAAACAGATGCATTTGAGAGTACCATTTCTGTCAACACAGAAGGTCAATGCCATATACAGGGTGCAGCAACATAACCTCCTTTTTTAAAACGCAATAAAACCCATTTTATTAATCAGAATTGTTTTTATTGTCTTTAATAATGTAGGTACATATCTAAAGTTCTGTTTTACACAGTTTTGAAAATCATATCAGGTAGGTGACGCCCCCCATTGTCCATACACTGAATAAGTGAATTCAGACCGGTATGTGAACATGTTGGAGGAATTTGTTTTTCCACGACTTGATGAACTGGACTTAGGGGACATTTGGTTCCAACAGGACGGAGCAACGGCTCACACTTCAAGAGCATCAATGGCTGTTTTAAGGGAACACTTCCCGGAGCGCCTCATCTCAATAAGGGGCGATTTGGAGTGGCCAGCCCGCTCCCCCGATTTGGCCCCTTGCGACTTTTTTTGTGGGGTTTTATGTAAACCGTCCAAGGACCCTACAAGACCTGAAGGCCAACATCCGCACAGAAATTGCCAACATACCCGCTGCTATGCTGGTAAGGGTCATGAAAAACGCCAGAAATCGGCTTATTCAGTGTATGGACAATGGGGGGCGTCACCTACCTGATATGATTTTCAAAACTGTGTAAAACAGAACTTTAGATATGTACCTACATTATTAAAGACAATAAAAACAATTCTGATTCATAAAATGGGTTTTATTGCGTTTTGAAATAAGGAAGTTATGTTGCTGCACCCTGTACATATATCCCAAGCCAAGAGGGCCCTAGTGACTAGGAAAATAGCAGATGTTTATTATACTTCATTTCCAGAAGTACACATTACCTGGTAGATGTCTAGAGCCTGCATGGCATACTTCACAAGTTTGATGTAAATCTGGGTCTCTTTGGGCTGCAGTTGCTTGTTTGGGACAAACTGAGCTTCTGTAAATGATCAGAAGACGGTATTATAAGAAAACAGAAAAAAAAAAAAAATCGCACACATCAATAACAAAATGACAGTTACAACCTGTTTAGCACTACTGTTTCACACACTCATGTTTTCGACTGGTTTTAGGTTTACGGCTGTTTATAAACGCTCCCTACAGTAAGAATGTACTGTATATGTGTCACTATAAACATAATATATTGTGTGCATCCATGAGACAGCAAAAAATATCAATGGTCCCGATGCAATCTGCAAAGTGCTGCATAACTAGTTAGCAAATGTGTAGGTAGGGGGAAGTAAAAAAATTACAATGGTTAAAACATATCTAAATGTGTATGTAAGTAGATGTGTTGGCAGCATTTGTTTTTCACCTGGTATTTCCGTGTATAACACATCTCCTGTCCCTGGGTGGCTACACCTACTTCTCTCCTGTATCTATGCAGGGGGCTATGGTTATCACTCAGGATGGACTTTAACCGCTTCCTGACCGCACTATAGCAGAACTACTGCTACAGGGCTGAGCAAAATCACACACACGACTTTGTATTTCCGGGCAGGGGGCGCCAGCGTGCCCTACTCGAGCCACCATTGGCGGCTACAGCTGTCGTTCACCGGGTCCCGGCCGGAGATTCCCTGCCTGCATCCGTTGATCACCTAGGGGGACAGGTCTGTATATAAACAATACAGATCACTCCCGTCAGCTCCAGCATGCAGCTTTGTATTGGTCTGCATAGCAGAGAAATACAAAACAGCACGCCTCCCTAGTAAAACACAGCACACAATAAAACACACACAGCACACAGTTAACCCCCTTTGATCGCCCCAGATGTTAACCCCTTCCTGTCCAGTGTCATTAGTACAGTGTCAGTGCTTTTTACTAGCACTGATCACTGTATCAGTGTCACTGGGGATGTTAGTGACAGTTAAGCTGGCCATATGCGTATAGATTTTCGTTCAAGAACTTTGGTTTCAAGAATATTAGTTTGATTTTCTACTCATTAGTGGGGTCAAATCGATGTTTGTTTTCAACCGCAGTGACGGGAAAATTCGAAGGGGCAGGAAGGAAAACTTTTCTCGATCAAACGAATTGTCGGCCTGTGTATTTGGTTAACGTTCAAAGATTACATTGATTTTAAACTCGATTAATAAAAGCAAAAGACAATTTTCAAACAAAATTCATCCATTCACCAAATGCTCAAAGAATTTTCGTATGACTTTTCTTATAAATATTCTCGTCCAAAAATCTACACGGGTATTGCCAGCTTTAGTTCCCCCCAGTGTCAGAATGCCCGCCGCAGTCCCGCTATAAGTTGCTGATCGCCACCATTACTAGTATAAAAAAAAGAAATTCCAGTATACATACCGCCATTTGTAAATGCCATAACTTTCACGTAAACCAATTAATTTACACGTATTGGGATTTTTTTTTTTTTTTTTTTTACAGACATGTAGCAGAATACATTTTGGCCTAAATTTATGATGAAATTTGATTTTTACTGGATATGTTTTATAGCAAAAAGTAAAAAATATTGTTTTTTTTTTTTCAAAATTGTCAGTATTTTTTGTTTATAGCGCAAAATATAAAAACCGCAGAGACTATCAAATACCACCAAAAGAAAGCTCCACTTGTGGGGGAAAAAAAAAAAAAAAAAAGAACATAAATTTTATTTGGGTGCAGCGTTGCATGACTGCGCAATTGTCAGTTAAAATAACGCAACCGTATCGCAAAAAATGGCCAGGTCAGGAATGGGGGTAAATCTTTTGGAGGGCGAGTGGTTAAACAGGTCTGCATTCGTTCGCCTGCATTACATAAGGATAGGGAGAAGTAGTTCACACACAAAAAGATTTTCTTTCAGTTCAGCTCAGAGAAAGTGACAAGGACAGTGCATTTCTGACAAAACCAACAGGTGTTTACAGTACTTACTTATTTACTACTTACTAATTTTCTTAGCCTTAAAAATAGAAAATATTGCAGCAATACATCTAAGAACTGAGGGCAGCAATATATTGAGTTCTGCAATATATTCAATGTTTGCTTTTGGGTTATGTGCCCTTAACCTCCTCGGTGGTATGATTCTTTCCGATTTTTTGTGCTGAAAGCGGTACCATTTTTTTGCATGGAAATATGTCGTTTTTTATTGTAGGCTGTAATTTTTAGGAATAACTCACTGAAATCTGTACGAACAAGAGTCTAGTAAACATTCCGGATATGATAAAACTTGAAACACGAAATCATAAATTATAATTTAATAAATAATCATAAAAAATAATATTATAATAATAATAAATTTAATTCAATAATATAATCAAACCAAAAACACTGAAATTTGAAATACAGAGGCAAATTCGCACGTCACTGAGCAAAGTCGCAAAATTGTTTTCAGTGTCTGATGACGAATTTCCCCACGAATCATTATCACTCAATTATGCAAGTGGTTCTGATTTACTATCGCTGTTCTAAAACCCCTTTTGACGTAAAGGGACGCTTTTTGGACGCCATGGACTTTGTAACTTTCCAGGCAGAAAGAACATTCAAAATGCAGGCAGGGCACAGGACAAAGCAGTAGGGACAAAATATATGTGAAATGCATTGAAACAGCAATGACAGCAAAAATGACATTTTTAAAAAATTTCAAATTTCCCGCCGGTTCCGGTGCCCCGACGTCACAGGGACCGGAACACGGAAGCCGGATGCCAGCATCGGCCGGAGGAGATGGCCGGGGTCGCTGCAGGGGACACATCGCGGGAGCGAAGGACAAGGTAAGTGCTGCAGGGACCCCCTGAGCAACGCCGCATGGTAAGCCCGAGTGTAGCTCGGGGTTTACCGCTCTTGGTACTGAAATTTTACCCCGAGCTACACTCGGGATTACCGCTAAGGAGGTTAAAGCATTGATGCACAATGTGGACCTATGAGCTGTACAGGAGCTATATGCTCCACCTGGTCTTGCTGGCTAGCATCTAGAAGGGGCTTACTGGGAGTTGGGAGTCTCAGTACTGCTGTCCTAGTACAGATAGGCACATTACCTCCGGGTGCTTTGCATGATGTAATTCCCCAAGTGATGGTCTTCACGCCACACACCAGGGTCTTCACCAAGCTGCGACAATCAGTCACTTGAAAGGTTTGCTTGTCTTCTTTATCTTTATCTCCTTGCTTGTCAAAGACCAGAAGTGGAACCTGGGTAAGCGGTGTGGATGGAGCAGCAGGCAAAGCATTGGCAGGAGTAGCTGGCGGGACACTGGCTAAGATGGCATCAGCTGCACACAGCTCAGACTGGGGCTTGCATTTCTTAAAGATGGCTGACAGCTGGTAGCGGGCGATGGTGTGGAACTTTAAGACAAACACCTAGATTAAAATATAATAGGAAAACCTATTATCAGATGTTTAATTTGTACACAAATATAAAAACCAATTAAAATGATGGAATAAAAAGACAATTATGGTGAAACAAAAGACTTTATATATCAAAAGATTTTCCCGCTTACCCAAGGATCTCTCTTGATTCCAAATTAATTCTCTCTTAACCCAGACACAGGATGTCTCGTAAAGGGCTCTACCATCAAATTTATTAAATCACCCTTTGCTTCTTAAAAGGTACCAATTCATAAATAAATCATGTTATCACTCACTCACCCAAAACATACTCCACTCCTTTAGTTCAGCTCATCTTCCAGCAAGGGTAAGGTAACGTAAAAAAAAAAAAAAAAAATAAATAATCTGTGCTAACTTCTTCTAAAAATGGTTTAAACACCAAGTCACTGAACCAAAACAAACAAGCAAGTGTTCAGGAGAGATACTGGAACAATGCTTGTGTGTAAGAGCGACAGTCTGACTCTCCTAGTACTGCCAGGTCAGCACAGGGTTATTTTTTTTTTTTTTTTAAGATAATAAAGTAAAAAAAAAAAAAAAGAAGGATGTATATTTATTGCTTTAATATGTACTCTGTCTGCAATAATAACTTAAAAGGGTTCAAATGGGCTTCAAGAGTTAGGCTGTTTCTGACAATAACACAGTAACCCTGCTCTGTCTAGAGACTGCAGGCATATCCTTCAGCGAAAAAAGAAGACGAAATTTGCATTTTTTTTGAGAACATCTTATATCAGGTACTGATCACATTTAAAAGTGATTTAGCAAAAATAATAGAATACATTTTCTGCCATTACCTCCAACATTCTCATGAGAATATCACGGCCATTCCCATTTTCCTGCTCACTCTTGGAGCGAATACAATCCACCAAGTTCAGCAGCAGTTTGCAGGACATGGTCTGGATGCTGCTGGGTATGGACTCATCATCAATGTTCTTAGCAAACAGCTGGACAGCAGATAAGTCGTTTAATGGAAGATGCTGTCGAACATGGTGTACAAGATCTGCTAATGTGCTGTATGCTAATGGTCTGTGAGGGAAAAAACATGAAGAGACAACATTCAAACTCTGCCAATGTGCCATTAGGAATTTTGTAAGGGTATAAAAGTAAACCTGACCTGGCATAAAACATTTTCAAGGTGTGAGGCATTAGTGGGTAGGATTGTGGATGGTGTGTGCATATATCACTTCGGTTTCTCACATACACATAGTGAGGGGGCTTCAGGGTTTACGACTGTTATTGAGAAAACAAACTTTATTGTTTTCCATAATTTTAAGTTATGTTGTGCATCCTGGAGCTTAGAGGCTTTGTAGAGCTGTGAATGTGATAAAGCCTCCATTCCTAGGTGCACAACTTACCTGTTATCCAGACCTCATTATCAGTTTCGCCTGTCCTTAAGCCTTTATATGTGAACAGACAGAAGCTCAGGGCTAGCTCTCATTGCTGTGGAACCCCGCTGCTGGGTGAAAAGGCTGTGTTCTGACAGAACACTAAAAAAGGTACTAGTGCTACCTGTTTGTTTTGGGGAACTAATTCGGAGGCACCTTGTTTGTCAGGAACTGACACAAGTTCAGTTAGTAGCTTGGATGAGCAGATGTTTTGTTTTATGCTATGGACTTGCTGTACAAGACCCTCCTGCATCAAATCTGTATTTGTTGGCTGCCTTGCTTAGAGTGTTACTAAACCCACAACAGTAAAATCAGTCTGTATATGCAGTAAAGCATGCTTGTTATACTCACTGTGGAACCTAAGGGGTTAATCCTCTGCATTGTGTAAAAAGGATGTTTGATCCTGAATTCTCTGTTCCTCCCTTTCTTCCAGTGTCTCCCTCTTATCTCCTGATAATACATATCGTGTAGAGACACTGCACATGCTCAGTTTGGTGTGTATTGCTAGAGGGTTTTTTTCCTTGGGAGAAATACATGTGATCAGCATAGGGCCAATCAGTGCTGTCCAGCAGCGGTCAGGGGTTCTACATCCTCCTAGAGAAATCTCCTCCTACAAGCTTTAACCAGTGCTCTGCTGAACACACATAGAAGTCATAAGACTGCTCTAACTGCTGATGAGAAAACGTATTTAGCAGTTTATATTTACTAAAATAAGTGCATTTCCATGTTCTGTATACTTTTGGAGATCAGATATAGTGAATGCAGGGTCCTGGGTTTAGTAACACTTTAATAAAAGTGTAGAACAAACCTACTTAGACAGTTCCTGGGTGCCCTGGTCTCATACATGGTTTACCATTTACAGTCCCTGTTGAACATGCCCATCAAAGCTGCAAACAGATGCCATATAGAAACTTCAAGTGATTATGTTGGTTTTCATATTAATCCCTGTGTCTAAATATAAACTCCCTAAATCCTAGGTTCCGGCTGTACAAGGAGACTTGACTTCTGCCCAAGTTGAAATGAACCTCTAGCCCCTTTTGGTGGTAAGCTCCACTACTCCAGTTCACTGAAGCACAGTTGAGTGACAGGGGGTAATACTCAGCATTAAAATGGGGGTACAGTGATGGCTTAAAGAGTAACAAAAAGGGTATTTGCATGTGCCAATTATACCTGCTCTTCAGAGCTGTTGTGGCATATCACTTTCACATTAAAAAGCAGCAGCTATGTTCAGTGATCCAAAGAACAGGACAAACAGGCCTGAAAAAAGAAAACTAATGCAGCCACTACATCTAATGACTGGTAAGCTGAAATATATTACATTTTTGGGTTTTTGTTAAAATTGATTTTCAGACTTTTAAAATCATGATCCTAGGGACCCCTATGTATCCATTTTTTACAACTGTGTTTCTCACAAAGAACAGGAATACAATTTGTTAATGCCTTTAAAAATGTTTCTATATTGTGATATGCTGACTTTATACACTATATTGCCAAAAGTATTTGAACTCCTGCCTTTATACACACACATGCACTTTAATGGCAACCCAGTCTTAGTCTGTAGGGTTCAATATTGAGTTGGCCCACCCTGTGCAGCTATAACAGCTTCAACTTTTCTGGGAAGGCTGTCCACAAGGTTTAGGAGTGTATCTATGAGAATGTTTGACCATTCTTCCAGAAGTGCATTTGTGAGGTCAGGCACTGATGTAGGTCGACAAGGCCTGGCTCACAGTCTCCGCTCTAATTCATCCCAAAGGTGTTCTATCAGGTTGCGGTCAGAACTCTGTGCAGGTCAGTTAAATTCCTCCACCCCAAACTTACTCATTGATGTCTTTAAGGACCTTGCTTTGGGCACTGGTGCGCAGTCATGTTGGAACAGAAAGATGCCATCCGAAAACTGTTCCCACAAAGTTGGGAGTATGAAATTGACGCTGGAAGTTTCCTTCATTGGAATTAAGGGACCAAGCCCAACCCCTGAAAAACACCATAATCCCCCCTCCACCAAACTTTACACAATGTAATCAGGAAACTACTGTTCCCCTGGCAGTCGCCAAACCCAGACGCTTCCATCGGATTGCCAGACAGATTAGCGTGATTCATTACTCCAGAGAACACATCTCCACTGCTCTAGAGTCCAGTGGTGGTGTGCTTGCATCCAATGCTGCACTTGGTGATGTAAGGCTTGGATGCAGCTGCTTGGCCATGGAAACCCATTCCATGAAGCTCTACGCACTGTTGTTGTGCTAATCTGAAGGTGGACACAAGTTTGGAGGTCTTTAGCTATTGACTCTGTAGACAGTTGGCGACGTCTACACACTGTGCGCTTCAGCATGCGCTGACCCCACTCTGTCATTTTACGTGGCCTACCACTTTGTGGCTGAGTTTCTGTTGTTCCCAGTTGCTTCCAATTTGTTATATTACCACTAACAGTTGAGCGTGGAATATTTCGTAGCAAGGAAATTTCACAGATGGACTTATTGCACAGGTGGCAAGCTATCATGGTACCACGCTTGAATTCACTGAGCTCCTGAGAGCGACCCATTCTTTCACAAATGTTTGTAGAAGCAGTCTGCATGCCTGGGTGGTTGATTATATACACCTGTGGCCATGGAGGTGACTGGAACACCTGAATCCAATGATTTGGAGGGGTGTCCCAATACTTTCAGCAATATAGTGTATTATATTTCTCTTTCCCAATGAATGTCACTATCTCCTATGAACGGCATTCTAAACTCAGCAAAGTTTATTACTACTAAGCCAGTAAATAAATCCCCACTTTCTTCTTCAATCTATTTTATTAAATCACATCTCAGTTTAATTTTTGAAAAATTTTCCCATGGAAAATCTCTCCTGCTCCCCATGATAAAATTAAAATGCTAACAAAAGTGTATGCTAGCAAACATGGTATCGCCTTCAAAAAAAGCTTCACCAGGAGAAGCGCTGTGGAAAGATGGTGCTCAGTTCAAATCTCAAAAAGATATATACAAAATAGAAAACATACCTGAGGGTCTCCCGGGCTGTGTATCCAGAACCAATGAGGATAGATTCATCAAATAGTTTGTCCATGCAGGGGATGAACTCTACAAATACAAATCATGAAAAATCTTATTTCTCAACAAGAAGAATTTTACGCTCATCATTCACTATGTTAATCTTTTACAGATTTGCTCAGTTATGTACCACTATTATAATCCTTGCAGTTCTTAATTATTACTGTGCTACCATATCTATGTACACTGCCAAACATGGCTTTAAAGGCTAAGCTCACCTTATAAAAATAAATGCATATGATCTTGCAGGTTAAAAAAAAAAAAAAAAAAAAAAAAGAATGCGTGCATTACACCTGCAATCAGCAGATCATGGGTGCAATGTCAGGCTCATGCACAGTCTTTCTCTAGCTTTATGCCAGTATCCCGATGTGGGCTGTTACAAAGATAGAAGAAAACCGAATGAACTACAGGCATGCGGATCAGCTCACTCGCAGTTCATTCAAACTACAAGTCTGTCTGCTGCAGTGGTGGATGGTACTAGTCTTTTCATTCACAGATCTCTATGAATGAGAGACGAGGGGCACAGCCACGCTATTAAAACCACACCACATGATTTAGAATTTAGAGCCAAAAATACACTGGGGGTGGATTTATTGATAGACTGAGGAAAGCAGGAGCACACTACATTTGGCACATCAACAGTTATTTTTTTGTACTCGCAGTGTGTGTGTTTTAAAAGGCATAAAATGTGCAGGAATGTTGAAAATGTTTTTTTTGTTTGTTTTTATTTGCTTTTCGAGCCAGTTTTACAGCAGGAGGAAACAATCTACACACACCAGAAAGTTTCACCAGCAAGATACCACCAGTTTCAGGGCAAAAACTGCTTTAAATTTACTAGGTATACTAAGGGAGATCCAAGGTCTATGTTTTACTTTATGTCAGCCTATATTGTATTTTGTGTCACTAAAGTCTTGCCCAGAAGGGTTTTGCAGGACCATCACCTTTACAGCTATTCCAATATCGCCCCCTCCTCCCACCAAGGTTCCCCCCCTTTCCCCCAAAGGAAACAGATATAGGCACTGTTTATAACACTCATGCCCTGGTGCCTGCAACTAGAAACTGATTCCAGAACAAGAATATACTCTCACAAGCCTGCCATGCACACAAATCTGCTGCCAAATACTCCAAACACCAGGGTGGATAAAAATCAATGATTTTTTAAAAAAAATAAAAAAAATCAGATTTTTTTTATTTAAATCGATTTTTTTTGAATAAAATGCTTTTTGAGGAAGATATATTACCATCCAAAGGTTATTCCATCATGAAATAAAGATTAGTTTTTTAATTATGTAGAATAAGGCTGTATAAGTTTACTTTTTTTGGTAAATAAATTCCATTAATCCATTTACAATGTCATGCTCTTCCAGAGGTTTTTGTAAGATTATTGGGCAGTTTCTCTGCCTACAAGATATTATCACAGATACTTGGTTTACTTTTGCAGTTCTCAAAACTGAAATTGACTCAGCGGATATCACATGCCTCTTCTTCACAGCAAAAATGTTATAACATGAACAGAGTTAAGAAAAAGACCTTAATCCTAACTTCTACAAACCTATGAATACAGAATCAACCCCTTCAGTGCTAAGTTTCAAGAAGTTCAGTGAATAGAATAGAAACAATATTTTTCTGATTGTTTGGAGTGGAATAGACCTGCACAAGAAGAAAGTGAAACTAAGTGTGAGGAGGAAGGGGCTGACAGGCCAAGTTTCTTAAAATATATATATTTTGTTTAGCCAAATTAGTTAACAAACATGGATGTTTGTTTAAGCAAATAACATGCTGTAATGTTATTGTTTCAGTTGAATAAATCTATTTAAATTGTTATTATTAAGGTAATGATTATTTTTCTCCTTCCTAAGTACAACAGAAAAGTTGTCCAAATATGAATGATTAACCTATTAATCTGGGGATAAAAAAACTAATATGAAAAGTTGTTATTCTAAAAATCTTCATCTACTTGCATATTAAAGTTATACCAGCAAGAATTAGTCTATGTAGAAAACTATGATTTAAATCAAGCCTTACTGACTAGTGATTTAAATCAGTTTGATTTAAATCAAATCCACCCTGCCAAACACTGAACATAAAACCATTAATACCTCCAGCACATTCAGAAACACATCTTTATGGAAAGGTAAAAAAAGAAGCAACCAATCATACTACATCAACAGAAACTGCAAAAATAATTTTTGGGAGTCAACATAATATTGGCAAATCACAAGGGTAGTTGGTATGAAATAATTATTTATTTTTTTTTTTTTTTTTAAATCAAGGTTCATTGTAATGAAAAACATAAATCATCGGTTACGTACGGCTTCTTAAATCTGTGCTGAGGATATGTTTTGCAGCAATAAGCAGCTCTTTCCGGAGGTGAGCGGTTTCCGGTGGGCAGTTGGTAAGAAGCTGCAGCATGCCTTTAACCATTTGTTGGGAATGCTTTGCCACAGTGTCCTGCACAAAAAGTAACACAAGAAAATAAATAAATATGGCCACTACAGCAACATGCAGGCAAAGACACAGTAAGAATATACTCATAAGCCATCATACCTGATAGATTCTAATGATGTAAGCCAAAAACGATAATGTTTTGATCTGGGCAGCTATAAAATCAGCATAGAGTTCTTTGTTGTACAACTTGTGCTGCCTAAAAGTTAAACCATAATAAACACTTTTAATAAAGAGTTTGCTATTTGACAACAAATTAGAATCAAGTAAACAGATTTTATTCTTGAACAGTCATTAGGCTCAATTCAATCACACGTGTTATTTGACATAATGAACTTTTAGCTGCAAGTATTATTTTGTGCTCTTACTGTTAAACATTATTTCTTATGGCAGATACATGTCATTTTGTAATAGAATTCAAACATACATCCAAAAGAGAATATTGTTATAAGACTATTTCAACTTTTCCCATGCTTATGCTGTATTGAAATTACACAGAAATTTACAGGGTACGAGGACATTAGAATGTTCAAATACCTGGCAGAGGCGGAAACTTGGGTTACAATTGTGTTCATGATCAAAGGGACAAATTCTGACACCATGTTGTGAATGTTTAGCTTGTAGAGCTGCAGGTAATAAAAATTATAATAGTTACCCACTGAAACATTAGGATTAGCTATAACAAAGGCATATGTCTACAAAACATTTCCCAAAGCTTAAAAGATAAGTTCACGTTTCTGAACATGTTACATCTATATTTAGGGTATAACATATTCAGCCTCAGACCCCTCTTCCCCTGATCCCCTGCTCCTTGGGGCAGCGAGTCACAAATCTTCCCGTATGCTTTGTCACAATTGGAAGAAAGCAAAGATCCTTCTTAATCGATGAACTACAAGTAGCAGCAGCCTTTGCGGCTGTCGGCTTGTAGTTCTCAATGAACTACCACGGCACTGTTCAGCGTTGTGGTAGTTCACTAATTCTTCCTGTCAGTGTAAGACAGTCTGCTCATATGAGCAGACTGATTACACTGACAGTCTGCAGAAGACCTGCATGGAACCAGCAATCTAACGATCACTGGTGCAATGCTTTGCAGACTCATTACACAAAAATTAGTAAATGCACCTTTTTTTGTACCTGCAAAAAATGTGCATTTATTATTTTTCATAAAAGAGTGAACTTATTAACTGGCCAACCGCCAAAAGCTAGTATCCATAAACCATTAAAGGGAAGGCCAAAAATTTTCAACCCATTTCTAATGATGTCACACCCTGATGCCACATATAAACTTAAATTATAACTTCCTATAAAAGAGAAATGAACACTAATGTGAATTTTGACAGGTGTCCTTCTCAGACACAGCAGTTTCCTTGTAATCAGTGCAAACCAGAATTGGACAGACCCAAGCATGCGTTTCAGAAGCACATTAGAAGATTAGATTAAAAAAAAAAAAAAACCCAAACACATACAAACGCCCTATTGGTAATAATCCCAGATATACCCAAATGTAAATTTCTTTATATTTTCCTAGTGGCTAAAATTGTGATAGCTTAGTCAAGGAAAAGTCCAGTTCTAGATTTATCTTCCAAGAATAAAAAGTAGACATGGATAATACTGAATGAAAAAATAGTAGCGTATTAAAGAACACACAAAGTTTGAGAGGGCCTGAAATCCTTGGATACTTTATATACAATCTCCCCCCCCCCCCCCCCCCCCCCCCCCGAGTGGTTATTGAAGTGGCAGCAGAAACAAGACACCCAGATAGGATATTGCCATATCTTTTTCTTGCTTTCCCTTTTTGTTCTTTATCTTTCCTTCTCTTATTTGATGGTCACGTAAGAAAGTCTCTCATTCTATGCACTTATTGCTGTTGCTGGAGGACATATAAGCAATCTCCATTCAAGTGATGTGTCAATGTTATCTAGCCTAAAATCACGATAGTTGGTCATCAATGTAGCCATATTTCTCTGAATTCACACACTACATGGGAATTAAAGTGGAGCTCCACCCAAAAGGGGACGTTCCGCTTTAAAGCTTTGTCCATTAACGATTGGCACCTTTGGGGACTGGGGGCGGGGGTTACCTGAATTTGACAGGTACCCGCTCCCACTTCCGCTGCGATCGCCTAGGCGATCGGAAGCAGAAGTTGTCCTCCACCCCCGTAGTACACTGAGGATGCCGGTGCTGAGAAGACAGGACGGTTAGTCAACCCGGCCGGTGTGAGGGACACCAAGGGATCGTGGGACAGGTGAGTGTCCGGTTTTTTTTTACGTCAGCAGCTAAGGTTTTTGCAGCTGCTGGCTTTTATTTTTCTTAATTCTGACTGGACCTCCGCTTTAAGCATAATCTTGCATAGTTCTCACTTGGATTCATAATTATAAGTGCACTATATTACAGATTGCCTCAGGAAAAGATAACTGTTGGAAAATGTCTTTCCTTTACTTGTACTATTCCTATTTGCTTTTGGGTATGCTCTACGGAGCTTTCCAATGTTTTGTATCACTTCTATGAAAAATTAAACGCTATAAAAAAGAAAAAAAAAAATTGATTTCTTGACTATACCCGATTAAAAAAAAAAAAAACAGCTCCAAGTTATCACTCTGTTTAAAGTGTTCAGACTGTTCGTCAACATTGACACTGAAGAATTATATGTAGAATCAGACTTACTTGGTACATAAGAACTACTATAATTGGTAACTCCGCCAGCACCTTGAGGGAGAGAGAGCCTTTAGGGATGATTGTGTGCTGTGTAGAAACAAACAAAATCAGCCAATGGGAGTTGAATGTTACATACAGAAAGGACAACTCTAAATGTCCACACATGGACATCATATTACTGATCAAGAAATATTTTGCTAGTCTCAGGTTTTAATTTGTTTCATAGCAGAATGATAAAAAGGTAGAATAGCATTCCACTTACTGTTCTTGTTTCACTGTCTTCCCGCTCTGGATTTACTTTGACAACAATGGTGGAAATCATGCCGACCATTTCAGGTGCAGGAACAGTGTTTTCGGGAATCACAGGTGGGTTCTCAAAGTAGCGATTCTTTGTTTTAAAAAGAACAAAACAAATGTTAAAGAATAATATACATAAAAACAGAAACACAGCATGATTTGCAGGTGTGAAAGTGACAACATGTTTCGCTTTGAAAGCCGAAGTGATGTAACAGTCTTTTTGATGAGATACCTAGCTAACAGGTGGGAAGCCTCACTTTCATCATTCACTGCGTGCCCTGCTAAGTAATACAGAGTCATGTCAGACTCTACTGAGCTTCAAAGAGGGCAGATTGTTGGTGCCCACTTCAATGGTGCCTCTGTGACTGAAGTTGGCAATTTATTTGCAGTGTCGCGATGCACAGTATCAATGGTTTTGACGGCATATACAGTTTCCGGGAAAACGTTGTCCGATAAACATAAGCACGGTTGATATGGTCAACTGACTGAAAAAAACAAAAGCACATTTGCGCAGGATTGTGACAAAGAATAAGAAAACTGCTGCTGCAAAACTGACTCCAGAGCTCAATATCAGTCCCGTGAAGACTGAGATTGATCTCTGCAGTCACTTTTGAAGCAGTTGTTTCTTATTCCGGGTCACAATCCTGCGCAATGTCCTTTTGAGTTCAACCTGATTGGCCAGTATGCATTGTAATGTCTGCAAGAAACTAAGGCTCTCTGACACCCATTACATACAGATCCTAAATGCCCACGACATATGCCTCAATTTCAGGCTGACTTACAGCTAAGGTCAACCATGCTGAAACTAATGCTAGGTACACACAAAAAGTTCAACCAAGCGGACTAAACAAAAAAAAAAAAAAAACAAAAAACTGAAAGGTCGCCATTCTAAGTAATGTTAGTGCGACCTCCCCCGCTGAGCTATTGTGTTCTGACAGGGGGGGGCTGTAACCTGCCGGATGCTGCTTTTCCAGCATGCCCTTTAGACCGGCTTCTGTCGGACAGGCTGCTGTACCCACTGGCAGAATGTCAGCCAGTTTATGTTAAACTGGACGATTATCGGCCCATGTGTACCATCCTTAAGTGTAAGAGGATTCAAAGCTGATCATGGGGAATATTAGTTGGCATTCGCTAATACTCAACATGTTCACTATAATCATGTAGGTGAGGCATATAGGTTATTGTGCTGCATCTTCCAGTCAACACAAGGGGAAATGGAGACCGGTATTGAAAACACTTACTACAACTTTTGGAAGCTCTTTATAAATCTGACGGACAAAGTCAAGGAAATGATGAATCTAAAAAGAAAAAAAAAAAACAATAGTTTGAAACTAACCTACAGCAAAAAGCAAAGAGAGATTATGTGATACAAGATACAATTTCATACAGATATAAAGCTTATCTAAACCAAAGAACAAAAATTGTTAGTATTGCAGCTTACCAGTCCTAAGATGTGGTCACTGCATGACTTTTCTTTTCTCACTTTTGCTTCTCTATCTTAACCTGGTAATCCTGCCATTAACTCACTTCCCCCTCCTAGAGTAACAACTATACTGAGCAGTCTTGTCACCCTAGGAAAGGAAGTGTGTTAGGACCACATAATACCTTCCTCTTTTCTCCAATAACAGTGTTTTTTTAGTCCACAGAGATAGAAGGGAACAATGCTAAAAATTTTCCAGGGGCAGATAGTACAGGAGGTTATCAGCTGACTAGATTTTTAGCTGGCTGAACAGCAATTTTTTTGTGCACCTGTCAGGCAGATATATTAAAATACTTTCTATGGTATTGATATGCTTTCTATGACTATGGTATTCAAAAAAAAAAAAAAAAAAAAAGAGAGAGAGAAAATAAGAGAAATTTGTTGTTAGAGTTTACAAAAACTCTAAAAAGGACAGGGTTACTTTTATTGCATCAATAGTTTTCCACTTTACCTCCCGCAGCAATTTGACAACAGCTAATATTCACTTCCAACATTACTGTGCAGCCTGCCTGATGCCCTTATACCTGTGGCTGAAAACGCCAACTATCCTCCAATCTGTACCAGCACATGTGCACTCACAGCGTCCATTCACTTCAATAGAGAGCCAACCCATACCCATACAGATGGACTTTCCCACCGAAGTGAATGTGCCAACCTTCATAAAAAAGCAACAAGCCTACATAACTGAACACAGTAAATTACCTCTTGGGTGATTGGTGGCCTGAACTGCTTGTGTAGCTCTATGATGATTCTTAAACAGATCAAAACATTCTCCTCATTTTCAATCTACAATAAAATGATAAACATCAATTACTTTTTATTTTCTCAGTTTAATTTTAAAATAATATAAATAAATCACTTCACATAAAATCTTTACAGACGTCAGCAAAGACCAGTCTAACCTGATATGGTTATGTGTAGAGGATGCATTAGCCTAAAGCAAAGCTCCTGGCAGCTGGTGGATTTAACCACTTGCCGACGCACTCAAAGTAAATGAACTGTGAGGGGGCGGCAGGTGCAGGCATGGCAATGTATATGTATATTGCTGGCTTTCTTCCACGGTGATTAGACACAGCACAAATTTATCAGCAGGTTTCAGCCAAGGATTTTGATTGAAATCTACTGATTGGCTGTGTCCAATCACAGCACAAAGTTCTGTGTTTACAAACACACAGAACAGGGATCTGGCTATTTATTCTCCCTGAAAACCAGAGAGAAAAAAAAACAGCCAGATCTGTGAGTAAAAGCAGCACACATTACACTTGTTAGGCACACGGTTAACCCCTTGATTGCCCCTAGAGGTTAACCCTCTCCAAGCTAGTGTCATTAGTACAGGATTATTTCTGATCACTGTATTAGTTCCACTAGCGATGCCAGTGTCCCTCCCAGCCAGTTTCTATTATTGCCAGATTGTCTGCCACACTAACAGTCCCACTATAAGTCACTGTTCACCGCCATTACCAGTATAGCATCTATAGCTCCGTAAATTCCAGTAATTATAACAAAGTTTGTAAACGCTATAACGTTCGCACAATCCAATTAATATACATATTATATTGGGATTTTTTCTTTTCCTTTGTTTTTAACCATAGACATGTAGCAGAATAAATTTTGGTGTAAATTTATGAAAAAAAAAAAAAAAAATGTTTTTATTCTTTTATTAAATATGTTTCACAGCAAAGTACAAAATATTGTTTTTTCTTTCTACAAAATGTTTGGTCTTTTTTTTTTTTATATATATATAATAAAAAAAAAACCCAGTGGTAATCAATTACCACCAAAAGAAAGCTCTACTTTTTATTTTGGTACAGTGTTGTATGATCAAGCAATTAGTTAAAATAGGGCGGTGCTGAACAGAAAAAAAATGTCCTGGTCATGAAGGGGGTGAAACCTACTGAAGGTCAGGTAATATTTTATTATTATTATACACTCACCGACCACTTTATTAGGCACACCTTTCTAGTGCGAAGAAAATATCACTCACACCATTATACCACCACTGCCAGCCTGAACCATTTATACAAGGCAGGATGGATCCATGCTTTATGTTGTTTACACCAAATTCTGACCTTACCATCTGAACATCACAGCTGAACCAGTCTGCCCATTCTCTGATCTCAATTTCAATTTTTAACACAGTCCAAGACACTACACTGAAGTCATGGGCTGTATAGAATTCAAAATCTTAGGGCTGCTGGCACTACTAACTAAAATACAGCATGGTGGCTAGTTTTCTAAAGGCACACATATTCCTAAAAAATAAGTAACATTTATTTGACTTTACCTCCAGGAAACGAAACATGACAGACAGAATATTTTTGGTGTGAGGGCGGAGATGTTCATTGGTGGGGATCCGGTGGATTATTTCTAGAACTAACTTGCGCAATTGCTGTAACAAAACAACAAAATATATACCATAATTATAAAATAGCAAGAAGCAATATAGCATTCTAGGTCAGCCTATAATGGCTTACAAAGTGGCAGCAATCAGATCTTATCAGTTTACCTTTCAGCACCCAGTGAACTCTTCACAAACACATGCACATCCCACTCAATAACAACTTTCACTGCGCGCACACACTCACACATACACATCAAGAGTCACGTTTTTTTGGGCTCAAGGCTGATATTCTCATCATTTTGCTATTCGCTTGAAATTGACAAAATCAGATTGGTTCATTCTGAGTCATTTGCAACACACGTACTGTACTGTTCAGGTGTAATGCATTTAAAAGCGGATTTAAAGCCCAAGTGTAGCCAAAATAAAAAAACACAAAAATCAGCACAAGGGACAGTGTAGGATTTGTTCCTTGTGCTGATGCCTCTTCTGTTAGGTGAAATCTACCTCTGTCCATTACCCCAACACCCTCAAATATCTGATGCATGGGGTTAATGGAACTAAGGGGCTTTCACAGGCTCTCATTAAGAGTGCACAACTATGCTCACCCTTTTTGTATATGGTGTGTGAATATACACACACACATACACACAAATTGTTCCTATTATATTTAAATCACTGACCACCTTGATGTCTTAGCTTTTATTTGAATCTGAAGTTGTCATGTTACTGCCCGTTTAACATGACACCAAGCACTTGAGAGCTTAAAAGTTCAGCGAAGAGCTGACATAGGCACACTGGTAATTGTGACAGATATTACTTAAATATAACTGTTATGGGAAACCATTAAAATCAGTGGGTTTGGTTCTGTATTTAATATAAAACATATAAAATAGTAGCCTGACACAACATAGTCACTGCTAGTAGCCTTTGACAATAATGTATTAGCACACTAAGTCCAATGATTACCTGTGCAGGCTTCTCCTGTAAGAACTGGACTTCCCCATCTTGTAGAAAGGTAAGAAAGCGTGGGATAATATGCTCCAGGAAGGTGGAATACTGGGCTGATGTGGTGACATTCTAGGAGGAAACAAACAAGTCCATATAAACAAAACACATTAAAGTGCAAAAATGCCAGACTATGGACATTAAACTAAACTATTTACATATTACTAGTAAGCAAAAGAGCTTTAGGCCATCCCCGACCCCTCCATTTACTGTTAGGCCTCATGTACACTGCTTCTCCAAAAAAACATAAATGTAAGAGTTTTTAGCATTTTTTTTCCATAGCCCCTCAGCTCAATTCAATAAAACCCTATGTGTTCATGCACACATAGGCTGTTACCAGAGTTTAGGAGCAGCAGAGTGTAGGGGCAGTTAAACGTCCCTCTCCTGAACGTAGAAGAATCTCATTCAGAAGAATGTTTTGGCCAAAAAATGCATCAAACGTTTAGTGCTTGGGTGTTTACTCATTTCAATGGCAAGCACTCTGGCCAATGAAATGGATAAAGCACTAAACGCAGTACCGCATTTACACTTGTTTAGCGATTTTCTGCTGCCACATCAAGGGAAGTTCCAGTACATGTAGCCTAAATGTGAAGTTCTTCTTTCTCAAATATCACAACAAAGACTCGACTCAGTTTCTGTAGGTTTCTACAGCTTAGAAACATCTGCTGTGTATTTACATTAGAGGGCTGGTAGGCTGCCATGATTCTGTTGTTACAGAAAAATAGCTCAGGTTTCAGTGACATTTGAGAACACATTGCTCACCAATGCTTTTAAATGCAAAGTGTGGAGTTGTTTTACTGTTTGTTTAGAACATGGGAATTTATTTTATTTTTATTTTATTAGAGGTACTTATACAGCGCCGTCAACTTACGCAGCGCTTTACATATATATTGTACATTCACATCAGAACCTAATCCTCAATCTAGGGTCCCTAACTTACATTCATGCATACACATACTAGGATCTATCAGGTTTTTTTCTTTTTTTTTCTTCTTCAACCCACTAATTGAACAAAAAAAAAAAAACTGGACATGTATAACCAGCTCAAGACTGTTATGGGGAGTAGTAACTGTCATTCACACAGTAAAAATTAGGGGTCCAAAACTGACAACCCTGTCAACTGGTTATGAAAAAATGTCTATACTGCATAGGCATAAACAGTGTAATTAGACATAAAGGGGTTTATTTACTAAAGCTGGAGAGTCCAAAATCAGACTCCCTTCTGCATAGAAACCAATCAGCTTCTAACCTCAGCTTGTTCAATGAAGCTTTGGCAATGAAACCTGGAAGCTGATTGGTTTCTATGCAGAACGGAGTCTGATTTTGGACTCTCCAGCTTTAGTAAATAAACCCCAAAGTGACTAAAGCAGGACACACAATGAACTACAGCATGCCAGTAACTGCCCCTTTTACACCAGGAGTCTGTAGTACATACCTCAAAGTTCTCACTGACTTCCTGCATCATTTTCAACTTAGTTTCATCAGCTGAAATATACAAAACAAAAATTAATAAAACAAAAAGTGTGCAGAGTAATCTCTCAATTTTCAATGCAATTGACCTAACTGAATGCTTAAGCCTCATGCTGGGTACATACAATCCTCTACAAACCATACACTACGTCATTTTCAAGATACATACGAGTGTTGACATCTGTCAGAGCAGCCACAAACTGGAGGTATTTCTTCATTAGGGTGGTCTGGTCCACCACCGTGGGCCCCGTTGGGGGTACGAACGCCATTTTCAGTTTTTATTGTTATCACTTAAGTGAGCGTAGATATTTCATCCCACCTGTGAAAAAAAAAAAAAAAAAAAAAAAAAACACATGAACACATTTCTGATCTATCCCTGTGATTCTTCAACATAATAACGTGGCATATCATGATGTTGTTTTATCAGAGAAATGCAAAGAGCTGTCCTATGCTAAACACAGGAGGTTTGCTTGATGAGAATGTTCTCCCCACCTGGCGGTATCTAACCAAAAGAATTTCAGCTAAAGGAACTATTCTTACACGGAAGGTCTGAGCATCCCGTGTATTGATACAGGTTTATCACACTCCATGAGCCTGAGTCTAAAAAGTGTAATGACTCAAAAGTATCATATCTTGCAGTACACAGTCCTAATAATGAGATTGATTAAACAGGAAAATTTAAAAACAGCAAACACACCCAACAGGTTAGTGATATGGAAGCATTATTAATAATGTGTGTCTCTCCAGAAACCCAATGGTTCCTCTATCACTTTTTGGTCCTTAAAGTGGAACTTTACCCATAACAACTGAAAAAATGATATCCTTTAGCAAGCAACATACATTTCACATTAATAATTGTGCACAGCACAGCCATCCAGAGCAGTGTGATTACTGTGAAGCACACTGACACCGCCCCCTAGTAAACCACTCCCTGCACACAGTTAACTCTTTGATCGCCCCTCATGTTAACCCCTGCCCAGTGCCATTAGTACAGTGTCCTTTTTTTTAAGCATTAATCACTGTTTTGGTGTCACTGGGGATGTCAGTGACACCAAGTCAGTTCCCCCCCAGTGTCAGAATGTCCACCACAGTCCCGCTATAAGTCACTAATCGCCGCCATTACAAGTAAAGAATTAAAAGAAAAAAAAAATCCCAGTATATATACCGCCATTTGTAAACGCTTTATCTTTCACGTAAACCAATTAATTTACATGTATTTGGATTTTTTTTAGCAAAGACATGTAGCAGAATACATTTTGGTGTAAATTTACGCTGAAATTTGATTTGTAAATTTTTTTTACTGGACATGTTTAAATAGCAAAAAGTCAAAAATATCTTTTTTTCTCAAAATTGTCTTTTTTTTTTTTTTTTTTTCATAGCACAAAAATTTTTTAAAAAAACGCACAGGCGATGAAATACCAGTGAAAGAAATCTCAATTCGTGGGAAAAAAAACACATCAATTTCATTTGAGTGCAGCGTTGCAGGACCGCGCAATTGTCAGAGTAACAAGGCGCTGTAACAAAAAAAAATCTAGCCATCCTGTTTATGTAAGGTCTCATTCACATGATTTATGTTGAACTGCCTTCATCTCCATAGTTCAATGCCAGGGCTCATTGAAAACAATTGCTCTCTATGTGCTCTTTTTATACCAGACATGCAAAGTGCTGTGTTCTGCATAAAAGAGCATTTTTCCACATTATGGTGCACCAAATGAAAATTCTGGTGCCGAAACTGAAAACTTAAAATGCACTTAGCCGAAAACCGAAATGTGCAGTTTTTAAAAATGAATATATATTTTTTGGGAAAAAAAAAAATAAATTTTGATTAAAAAAAAAAAAAAAAAAAATATATACCCCGAATTTTTTTTGTAAAATATGAACGAGGATGTTACGGCGAGTAAATAAATACCAAACATGTCACGCTTGAAAATTGTGCACGCTCGGGAAATGGAGTGAAACTGCGGTACTTAAAAATCTCCATGGGTGACGCTTTAAACATTTCCACAGGTTAGCAGTGTAAAGTTACAGAGGAGGTCCAGTGCTAGAATTATTGCTGTTAGTGTGACGTTCGTGGCGATACCTCACGTGTGTGGTTTGAACACCATTTACATATGTGGGCATGGCCTACATATGTGTTCACTACTATGTGCGAGCACGGGGGGATGGGGGCACTTTAAACTTTATTTAATGTTTTTTGTTTTGTTTTTTTGCACTGTCCCTTTAAAAAAAATTGTAATCACTTTTACTCATCACAAAAAATGCATGCATTTCTTGTGATAGAAATAATTATCGACAGGTCCTCTTTATGGAGAGATATGGGGTCAATAAGACCCCCCATCACTCCTCTGCAATGTAAAGCATTGAATAAAAAAAAGAAAAAAAAAAAAAAAAGGAGGCCAGAACCAGAAGTGAAATCGCACCGGTCCTCCAAGGGCATAGAGATGAATGGAGGCCATCTTTCCTTCACTAATCTCTATGCTCAGCACCGAGATCGTTTGATGGTTTCTCTGGTAAGGCTGAGAACTACCGAGCGGCGGCCGGCAGCGGCTGGCGGGTGTCAACGAGTGGCAGGGTTTTATCAGCACCTGTAACGGTGCTTCTTTACATATCAGACGACGACTGAAAGGGGTGTTTTTAGCCGAAACGTTTTGGCCACCGAAATTTCGGTGCATCCCTACTGCAAACCTTACTGTATGGGCAGTGCATTACAATGCAGTCCCTGGCATAGATTTAAATGAAATATTTTGTGACATTTCAATAAATTTTTAAATAAAAAAAAAAAAAAAAAAAAAATGTATCTTAAGCTGTAACAACCCAAAACCCTGCCACTACAGAAAGGAAAACAGCCTGTATAAATTTTAGCCCCCCATCCAATCCCTAAGCAATTTGTTACACGTTTTCCAATCGCAACAGTGCTCATCATGAAGATTCCCATCATATTCAGTGGTGTCCATTCACACCTGAGCTCTGTGCTGCTGTCATGAGAAGTACATGTGCTTCAATGGGTGCCTGAAAATGGGTGACACAAGCGTTTTAGTGTGGTTTTCCTGCGTATTTTTTGCATCTAACAACCTGTCTCCCCTTAACATCCTGGTGAACAAAATGGAGGATTCAGAAGTGTCCATGCTGGACATGACGCCACAACACCACGCAGAAAACCCAGGAAGCAGATATCACAGACCTCAAAATAAAACCCCCTGAAACCACATGGAAACCGCTTCAAAAACTGCATTTGAAAAAAAAGGGAAAAATTGCCTGAAAATGCAAAGTGGCTATTTGTGTGAGGGCTGCTGTGAATGAGCCCCAACACAAGACAAGTCCTCTTGGGGTACACTACTTTCTGCCATAAAAGCAATCATTGCTTTCACATATCGTTGTAGTGACAAACAATAACCCTAGGTTCGCACCTATGGAGGTTGCGTTTGATGCGTTTCTGCATTGCGTTTTGTATTTTTGCATTTGCGTTTTTTTTTCTTTTCTTGTTGCTAGGCAGATTTTAAATGCAAAACGCATCAAAAACATGGCAAAAACGAGATTCATGCTTTTCTGCAGCATTCCCATTGAAGTTTATACAACCAAAAACCCAACATTTTGCATTCAAAAAAGTCACTGACCCTTTCCAAAAAACGCGCCAGGCGAAAACGTGATGTGAACCTGCCCCATAGTAAATCATGTTAAATGGACTGTACTGCGTTTCTGCAAAATTGGTTAGGTGTGAACCTTGGGTAAGGCCCCGTTCACATTCAGTATTTTGGAAACAGAATCGCTGCAATTCTGTCTGTGATACTAAATTGTGACGAAAACAATGATGCACACTTGGGTGCAGTGGCCCAGCAATCCAGGCAAGATGCGCATTTAAAAATTGTACTAAGGTTGTCAACCTGCAAAAATTAGGAGCTTCTTTTGGGCAATAAATGCGCATAGGGCAGCTCATTCATTCAATAGGCTGCCCTATGCGCATTTGTTGCCCAAAAGAAGCTCCTAATTTTTGCCTACCAACAAGAAAAAAAAAAAAAAAAAACGCAAATGCAAAAATACAAAACGCAATGCAGAAACGCATCAAACGCAACCTCCATAGGTGTGAACCTAGGGTTATTGTTTGTAAAACGCAATTTTAAAATCATGAGCGGGAATACTCATTCTCGCAATGCGATACAAGGATGAGACCGTATAGTACATACGTCCTCATAGGTCAACTGCACACAGGATCACCACAGAGTGAGGAAAGAAAACCTCCAGTTGCCCATAGCAACAAGACGTTCCCCTTCAGTCTCCCATACTGCCATGGAAACATGGAAATGACTGGTTGCTACTTGGACAAAACTGCTTATCTTTTCAATGTTTCATGCAAAAATGATTTAGGAAAGTAGCAGCACCATTTTTGCGTCCATATTTAGGGTAACATGGTACTTTTTTTTTTTCTTTTGACTGGGGAGAGTCCCTTCACTTCCTGTTCCATAGCCAAAACAGGAAGTGAGAGGAAATCCCTGCAAATTAACCCCTTCACACCTAAGGGTAAAACAAATCTAAATGCCTAAGCACAATTCTGCAATGTTGATGTGTTAGTAAAACCGTACATATCATCACAACTACTTTGTACATCCAGGTGGATTATGCCTTGATTTTTTCAGGAGAAATTGGGCATTCATTTGGTGGTAAATGGAAATGGATAGCTCCTTATTTTTTTTATTATCAATGGAAAACTGGCCCAAAATAGTAAAAAAGAAAATCATTTTTTTATTTATCTGTGTGTTTCTTGTTACTACTATAACCTACCACCAAAGAACAACCCAAAATAAATTCCCCAGCTCTTGACGATCGCAGCAATACCATATATGTGTATGTTATTTGTTGTTTGTACCCGTAGTACAGGTCAGAAACAATAGTGCACATTTTGTTTTTTTTTTTACTTAAAACACACTGACACTAACATCAATTTTTTTTAAATCCTGACCTTTGACCCTGACCCAAACACTAACCCTGGCACTGAACAAGATCAAACCTTGATCTAGGTATTTTTCTTTATTTTTTCTTTTATTTTTTAATATTTAACTTTTTTTTTTACAAACATTTTTTTTTCTCTCTCTATGCCAGGAGTTAGAGAGATACAATATATCTCTCTTCTCCATTCATAGAGAGAGAAAAAAGCAAGGGGGCCAGGCTGCACAGTGACTGATCACTGTGATAGCCAATCAGAGGCTATCACAGCAATCATGTGACCCGGAATCGGGAGTCCCGGGTCCCGATCGTTAGAATGGGGCTCAAGACT